GCCCACATACAATCAGCAACAAGCAGAGGCCGATCTAGTACTTTTGAGGCTTTTTTTGTTGACATTTACATTTACATTTAGTCATTTAGCAAACGCTTTTATCCAAAGCGACTTACAAATGAGGACAAGGAAGCAACTTACACAACTATAAGAGCAACAATGAAGAAGTGCTGTAGGCAAGTTTCAGGTGTGTAAAGTCAAAGAAGGAAAGCATTAGTAATGTTTTTTTTTATTGTTTTTTCATTTTTTGTAGTTAGTTGAGGTTAGTCAGTGACTCTGCTGTTCTGATGCAGTTAGGGAGTTCATTCCACCAACTGGGCAGATTGAGCGCGAGCGTTCGGGAAAGCGTTTTCTTCCTTCTTTGGGATGGAACCACGAGGCAACGTTCACTCACAGAACGCAAGTTTCTGAAGAGCCTATAAAGCCAAAAGTGAGAGCAGATAAGAAGGGGCGCAGCCAGAAATTGCTTTGTAAGCAAACATCATTGCTTTGAATTTGATGCGAGCAGCAACTGGTAGCCAGTGCAAACGAATGAGTAGCGAAGTGACATGTGCTCTTTTAGGTTCATTAAAGACCACTCGTGCTGCTGCATTCTGAACCATCTGAAGAGGTTTGATAGAGTTAGCTGGAAGCCCGGCTAGTAGAGAGTTGCAATGGTCTAGTCTGGAAAGAACAAGAGCTTGAACAAGGAGTTGAGCTGCATGTTCAGATAGGAAGGGTCGGATCTTTCTGATGTTGTAGAGTGCGAATCTGCACGATCGAGCAGTTCTAGAGATGTGGTCAGAGAAGTTTAGTTGATCATCAATCGTTACTCCAAGGCTTTTTACCATTTTGGATGCAGTAATGGTTGCCCCGCCTATCTGGATTAAAAAGTTGTGATGTGGAGTTGGGTTGGCAGAAACTTCTAGCATTTCTGTTTTCGTGAGATTAAGCTGAAGATGATGATCTTTCATCCAGTGTGAAATGTCTGACAGGCAGGCTGAGATGCGAGCCGGAACCGAGGGATCATCAGGGTGAACAGAGAGGTATAGCTGGGTATACAGAAGGAAAGGACAGAACAGAAGGAAGGACAGAAGGAAATGATCCAATTTGTGTAGTGGAATTACTAGTGTTTGGTCATCGAAGCAATGTCGAGTGTAAATAAGGTCCAGCTGATTACCTGATTTGTGAGTAGCAGAAGTAGGTGCTCTTTTGAGGTCAAAAGAGGCAAGCAGAGTCAGGAAGTCATTAGCTTGTGGTCTTTCAATGTGGATGTTGAAGTCACCTAGCACCAACAAGGGAGTGTTATAATCAGAAAAAGATGAGAGAAGAACATCCAGTTCATCTAAGAAGTGACCTAATGTACCAGGTGGGCAGTAGATGACAGCCACATTTATGTAGAAGGGGTGGATAATGGTGACTGCGTGGAATTCAAAGGAGCTGATCTTTGTCAGGGACGGTCTCTGAGTAAATTTCCATGCTCTGGAAATCAGTAGTCCCGTCCCACCCCCTCTCCCTGTCTGACGAGGAGTGTGGGAAAAAGAGAAATTAGCAGAGAGAGCTGCATGTGTAGCAGTGTCCTCCGGTCTCAACCAGGTCTCAGTTAGAGCTATGAGATTATAGTTAGAATGTGTAGCTATGGAGGTAATAAGATCTGCCTTGTTCACAGCAGATTGACAATTCCAGAGGCCCACGGAGAGAGAGAATTGTGAAATAGCAGATACTTGTATTGAACGAAGGTTGTGAAGATTACGCATAGAGCGTACCTCACGTGTTTTGCGAGTGTTAGTAACAACAGGAATTAGTAAACACATGATGAAAGTGCAATACAAACAATAATTAGTGCAAGGATAAAGAAAAAAAGAAAAAAAGTACAGTACTCAAGTGCTTTGTCGGTGTCTTTGCTCTGTGGAGATGCGCAGGTAGAGTCGATGGTCTTTACACTCGTCGGTCTTCACCCGAGGCTGCTGCGACCGCTGCCGCGCTGAGATTAACAGCTTATATACACCCTAGAGCACTAACGTAGCTGATTGAGTTCAGCTGGACACCCAGAGCACTAGCTAATTGGATTCAGCTGGACACGCCTCGAGAGTACAAACACCCGAAACTACCGAAACAACCGAATCTGCCACCGATACATTGTTGAAAATGTAGTTGTTTAGAATGTAGTTGTTTAGATCGCAACTGTGCAGTTTGTTTATACGTATAGTGCCTAATTTAAAATATGTACAATTTCTGAGAGACAGCTCGTCGGCAGCCTTCAGTCCACCATACTGAGTAGAACAAAGGCAGTTGACATTTTTATTCCACAAGATGGCAACGGGACCGCATAATAAAGACCTTAGAAGATTAAAACAGCAGATCAAATCATTATTAAACTGGTAAGTGACATTCCAAGTCGATCTCTCTCTTTTGTATGTTGTAGTGCTATCTTTATAACATTACCATAGTAATTGTAATGCATTGAGTGTGAGATATGAGACTCACACATCAGGAATGTGTGTTGTGTTGGCATCTGTTTAGCATTTTCCCTTCTCACAAACACAACAGCAATCTGGTAGTTTTTGCGCTGCTTTCGGGGTTAATTATTGTGATGTTGTAACGGTCGCTTAATGTTGGACATGCATTTTATATAAATGGCATGTCCCCTTTAAGAGGACTTTTTCTGTGGTTGTTTTACCTTTGATATGTAAGCATGCATGCATGGCAGCTCAGTTCAGTTCTGGTGAGCTCTGAGAAGTGTGTGATGGTCACTCCACCGCTGTACTGCTGTTTGCTTGCGACAAATGTTTGAGTGTCTTTTTTTTTCCTTTTGCCTATTCATTGTCATTGACTGGCATGTACGTAGTCTACAGCACTTGGAAAAAATGCGTAAAAGCCTTTGAACTGTTGTATAAACGCAATATCACACTAGTAGCAGTGCTGAGTATTGGTGTCCATGTAAATGTACTCAGTGAAAATGCAAGATGATGTCGCAAGCTGTCAAAGACAGCCCATTCCTCTGCCTTTTCTGATTTCATGAGCCCTCAAATGTTTCATTAAGTTTGATGTGTTTCTCTCCTTACATGCAACTTTTGTAAAGCGTCTGCTTTACGTTGCTGTGAAAGAATCCTTGCTTGTAAAATATAGGCACACTTTAGAATGCTTAGTTTAAGCAAATTTGATGAACGTGATTGTTCGTGTTGATGAATCTGAAGGGAGTTGCTCACCGAGTACGCTGTATTGCGCGCATTGTCTGTGTGTGTGAGTGTGTGTGTATGTGTGCATTTGTATGTTTTCTTAGCAACAAGAGTAAATGCCTAACACATCCCTCAAAGCTGTTTAGAATTAAATGTTTAGAGATGGTGTGACCAAAGTCCCTGTAAGAAGTCTTTATCTTTGGTAAGTGCCTTTGACGTACCCCTTGGTGCTTCTTGCATTCTAGTCACAAAACCAGTGGCACCAAAAGTAAGGACTGAAATTCATATGCTGGTTCAGGGATTTCGAGAGAAAGTGATTTTGGTTCAGTTATTTTGTGAGATACTGTTCTCACTCTCAGGTCATATCATTCAAAAGAAAAGGGCAACATTATCCCCTGATAATGTCAAAAGACTGGACTGTCTTAGCAAATAAATGTTAACGAGGACTAAGCAAAATTGTTTCTACTTTATAATTAATGTTCTAAACTCGCAATACAACTTTACAATGAGTAAAATTGTTTGCATTCAATACTTTATTATTATAGTTTTCCAATTTCCATATTTGCAATGCCTGTGTTTTGGATTTCTTTTTTGTAGTTCACTTAGAATTCAACATGGAAATCTTTTTCGTTTTATTGGCATTGATTTAATATTTTTTTTGCTACAGAACAAACCTTAGTTAAACAATGATTTGCCTGATTACCCTAACATGCCTAAGTAAACTACTTAAGCCTTTAAATTTAAAATCTTCTTTACGCTAAACAGAAATTGTGAAAAAAAAAATTGTTAATAATTCAGGAGGGCTAATAATTCTGACATTAACTGTATTTTGTATTGATGTATAATTTAAGTTAATGACACTATTATATGTTTACAAGCTTTACTGACAGCAGAGGTTGTTAAGTCAGAGTTGTTCAGAATTAGGATTTAAGATATGATGTAGGGGTGGGCAATATACGATAACGGTCAAAAGTTTGGAGTCAAGCTTATTTTCAAACAATTAAAAATCGTACTATCCTGCTCACCATGGATCCATTTATTTAATCAAAAATACAGTTCACATTGTAGAATTGTGAAAATTGATTGAACTGAAAAATAACTGTTCAGAAGCAGTTTATAATTCAATTTAATAATATATTCCAGAGATTTTAAAGATGAATTTTCAGCTTCAGTACTCAAGTCTTCGGTCACATAATCCTTCAGAAATTAATCTAATTTTATAATTATTAATAATAGTAATATTATAGTATAGTATATCTGAGATTCATTCATTATTTTAATGATACATTTCTACATAAAGATTACTCAGGCTGAGAAGACAGAGTGAAAGCATTTTTTGGTCTTTAAAAGCAAGGTTTGGTGTATTTGTAAGTATCAACAATGGCAGTGCTTGGCGTGGCGTCTGAGGCTGAGACTACACTGATCTTAGGTTAAGCTGTCAACCACTTGTTACCAAGATATTTTGAATTGTGATGATGAGTTCAGGATAGGCAATCGCTGACTTTCTTTAGAAAGTTACATACTTCTAGTTCTGTTAATCTCTAGTTTGTTTAATCTACATAAATTTTGTGATTATCTGGATATTTACCTATGCATGTCTCTGTTTCACACACCTATTTTAGGCTCTAAGGAGACATGCAAAAAATGCAGTGTTGAGGGGCTCCAGGAATGCAGCTGCGGACTACTTTCAAGAAATTACTGTGAATCCATAAAGCAGATTAACAATGTACATCCATTGGGGCTGAATGTTTGCAAGCAAAATTTAGTTGATCCGGCCAATATTAGAATGAATGAAAAAAAAAGAGTCCATGTACATGCAGTTATAAAGTATATATCACTTACTCTGCTTGTGGCAGACTTTCCATGCTTCTTCATAGGGCTATACTCATCCTCTTCTAAGCTTGACTGCTTTCGCTTCTTGCTTCTGCCTTTCCCACTCCCTTTTGATGCTGGTGGTTTCTTAGTGCCTGTATCTGAGTCTGAGTCCCAGACGGATGTATCAGGTTTCTTGGCTTTAACCGGAGCTTTCTTCGGCTTAGGTGGTGTATCTACAGGTTTCTTAGCTGGAGCAATAAAAAATTTAACCATAAACATGAATTAAGATCAATTTTGGCCTAAACTGGTAAGCTATATGGTCACTGTAAACATGCTGTCTTGTCCAATTCATTATTAGTGTTTTGTTCATGTGAAAAGTAAAACAAGATGGTAAATGCAAAAAATGTAGGACAGGACCATGTGGATCTGATACTAACTTTATAAACAGCCACATGCAATTTAGGCATTAAGTTATCATAGTTAACACAATATTTGTACAAAAAGTTTTCATTCACAACAAAAGGAAAATACTCACAAAAAGGGACTTTTCACTTTTAAACAAGAATTCAAATTACAGGTACATTACCTGTTTTTTTAGCAGGTTTCTCAAAAGCAGAACTGCTAGAGTACGATGAGAACACTGGACCTCTGTCACCGTCACTGTCTGACTTCATATCTTAGGAATAAATACATATTATTAAAACATTGTACATTATTAGCCAAGAAGAGTCATCACTTAAGACACACATACCATCATCACTGATCTTGTCATCATAGGTGGTTTTAGATGGCAAAACAGGCTCTGGATTCTTTTTTTTTGCTGTTGAAGTGGGCCTGAAAATAAGACATTAAAACTTGCATGTCACTTTGGGAAATACAGTTAATATTTAGAATTAAATACTAAATTGTTGGACCACAACAAAACTGATAAGGAAAAAATAAAAATAAATTGTCATTACTATTTTCATATTTTTGTTAGGTTATCATTATTGTGAAATGTTTTGTTCCCCATATATATAAAAAAATCTACTACACTGATGTTTGTTTTGACCTGTGAAAATCCACAGCCATATCTTGCAAAGAATTCTCAACCAAATATAAAAAAGAACATTTTGTTTAGTGTTATTAGAAATTATCAAATTAACATTTTGTATAACTGCTTGTATTTAACTGAAATCATTACTTTTGTTGTGACATTTTAATTTCAGTTTGGCTCACTGATGTTCCAAAAGATAACACGATGCATTGAGAGCTGGGAGGTTAAAACTTCTAATGATGATGCCCAATTTTGTTCAAAATACAGTTTAGAAAATAATAATTTAATACAAATTTTACTACTGTCCTTTAAAAATAACCAAAGATATGTGCATGTTTCCTGAAAAAAGTACATTAAATTTAACTAAAAAGAAATTGCTCTTAATGCATCATAAATTGTTTATCATTTAATTAGTAACAGTACAAATTTAAATCGTAACATTTTTTAAATTGTAAAAATTTTTAGTACTATTGTTTTTTTTTACTGCAACAACCAGATAAAGAGTTATAATTATAAACAATTAGAGTTTCATTGCCATAAAATAATAATACAATGCCCAAGATTTATGGAATAAATATAATCCTTGAAATATAAAGTAAAAATGCTTGTGAAAAGCTAGGTTAGATTCACCCATATGTAAATATTTAAACAGAACGTACAAAGTAAATGTTGTTTTTGGAGGAAAAATATCGTCATCATCATCAACTTCATCATCATGTTGCTCTGTGTTTTTGAAGGAGTGTACTGGTGATGCTGAAGCATCGTTCTCCTGTTCTTCATCACCATCCTCCTCTTCCTCTTCCTCCTCAGAGAAGTCAAATGTGTACTTGGCTTTTACAGCTGTGAAACAACAACACAACAGAAAAGTTGTTTCCACCATGGGAAAGTGTTTCAATATGGGAAAAGTTACCGTATGGATTACTTTTGTTAGAAGTTCACCCTAACTTTTACATGCACATTGCACAAAGCTAATGGTTAGTAAATTGGACTTGGCAACAGCATACAGGGTTCATACACATTTTTATTACTAAAATTCCAGGACGTTTCCAAGACTTTTCCAAAGGTTTCAGTTAAATGTTCATGACATAATGCCTGGTGGGCCTTAGCAATCCTACAGGTGGGCCGCAAGAGAATAAGCTTAAAATTAACTCTCAATATTACACTATATTTCCCAGAGCTGAGTTGTGGCTGGAAGGGCATCCGTTTCCTAAAACTGCTGGATAAGTTGGTGGTTCATTCCTCGGTGGCGACCCCGGATTATTAAAGGGCCTAAGCCAAAAAGAACATGAATATTATACTATAATTTTTGGATTGCATTACAATATGCTATATTACAAATGATGGAAGTAATGCACTTTCTCCTGTTTTCTGATTGATCACTTTAAACTGTGCAAAAACAGCCTCATGATCGCTTCTGCAACTAGTACACGCAAGTCTGTTCATTTACAAACTATGCACGAAGAGAAAGTTTCTCTTTGTTTGAACTATTTAATGTATCCGTATAGTTGTCCAAATTAATGTCCTGTGAGTGTTTTACAACGGACGTGCACATATACAGGAGGATCTAGCGAGGCTCAATGGTGTTTTTACTATAGAAGGTAAAATAGACCTATGCAATAAATGTCATGCATGTCAAAACATCTTAGGGGCCCCAAAATCACCTCAGACCCCTGAGGGATAAATGAGTTATTTTACCTTTATGTCACCAGGCTGGACATAAGTAACTACTTACAATTTGAACAATAAAAAAAAAAGAAGAAGAAAAAAGAAAAAAAGATTTTTTTTGAACAGACACACAAACCTGAAGCTCTCCTGGATGTACTGTCTCTAGGAATAACAGGTTCACATTCATCTAGCTCAATATCAGATCGATCATCATCACCACCTTCATCATCATCGGACCATGGATTTCTTTTCTTCACTTTCTTAGCTGGACCTTTAGCACCAGCTGGTTTTCTTTGTCTTGGTGTACCTAAAATTTTATGGCAAAACATGAATCAAAAAAGAACCACATTTGAAAGTTAATTAAGTTAAATGCAGTGGCAAAACGTTATTGTTACCGGGTTCTTTTTTCTCTCTCTTGACCCTTGGAGCTTTGGGTTTGGCTCCTGGGTTGGGAAGGCCAGATGGAGAAATTAGGGAATTCTCTCCTCCATTGGAACCTAGAGCACTGTCATCATCAATCTCCAGCTTCACAGCCGCATCTATCTCACCCTAACATAAACAAATATATTATTAGACATGCACAGAAACACATACTGACTATCAGACATGACATTTATTAGTTGTAATTCAGTCTATTTAGTTATGATTAATATGTTAATTAACAACAATCAAATATTTCAAGAAGAGAAAGTGCACTTACTAATAATAATGCAGTTAGTAATAATAATAATAATAATAAATCTATTTAAAAGGAATTATACAACAAATTTGAACTCTATAAGTGTAAAGAAAACCTTCTGACCGTTCTACAGAAAATAGACTGCAGCTTTTGACTGCTTATTTCCTGCCACTATCTTCAGGTCAGGCCATGACAAGCATTTGTGTTTTTTTTAGTCATTACTTGATTAGCCCAAATGAGTGGAAAGCAATGCCATAATTGGAATTATTATACAAAAAAAGTCAGCCTAGGCAACATGTGGGTCTACAAAGTTGCATGCAGAGCAACACTCTACCTTCTGCAACAACATCTCTTTCATTGAAACACATTCACACCGTTTGCTCAAGCAGAAGAAAAGCAGCGTGTATGTAGAGCAGAAACAGTGCATAAAAATCAGTGGATCTCATCGATGCATTTATTGGGTAAAATTGCTACTTTTTGCTATCATTCAATAAGTTTTTTGGTCATTATCACTGCACTGTCACTTTAATTCAGTGTAGATCCATCGCCGAAATGATTGTGTCACTACTGCTTCAGCTCTGCTCACGCTCCGCACTGACACGCTGCTTTTGCGAAGCTCTGGAAGCTCTAATCTGTTAACATGAACACCGTAAAAACATGTGCTGCTTACGTTTAGCTTATGCATACAACCTGAAAGAGGTGATAGCAACAAAACGGGGACATCCACAATGAACTGACACATAAAGCAGGCTTGCCATGGCATAAAAGGATGATAGTCAGCCATCAATGTACTCTTTTGTTACAATCCATTCTGAATAAACAAACAATGCAGTTTACATGCTTCATCTTTGTTGCAATATTCATTAAGATAAATCTAATCTAATTTTTGTAGCCCAGGCAACTCAGAATTGTAGTTGAGATGTATGTTATAACGGCTCTCGTATTAAAAAAGAGTTTGGTTTAATTTGGCTCAGGCTCATAATTACAGTTAATGTGTCAGACCAGTTCGAACTCAGACACAAGGTGCACAGGCTCGGGAAAGGTTGGGTTAAATTTTTTGGGCTCGATTTAATCTCTAACCACAGGTAAAACGTCTCACTATTACAGTAAATACGTCTAATTTCTGAAAGAAAAAAAAATACACCATAAAGGTCACTTTTTATTATATTGTTTTACTCCACTTATGCTTTTAATACATTTAACTGATATTAAAATAATGACAGTAGCGCCTACTCTTACCTTCTTCTTTTTGGTGAGTTTCTTGGAGGCATCTGCTTTCATAGCCAGTGTAATCTGTGGCTCAACCCTTCGGCCAAATGGAGAGGGCAGAGTTTCCTCCAACTGCATCTTCTTCACTTTAGGTTTGCCCACTTTACCTTTAACCAGTTTTACAGCCTTGCCCAAGTTCACACTCTCTTTTTCCTGCTCCTCTACACGCTGGAAGAAAGACAGACAGAAAGCTCTCAAACACTAATCATCACGCATGATGATTCAACCCAATCCTAAAGCTAACATACTCACATCCAGTTCCTCGATAAAAACGGCCAGATCTTCCCTCCACAGATTTTCTGAAGTCTTGCTCTGGAGTTCATTCAGCTCTGCTTTCTGTATAAAAAAGCACATACTTACAGTAAAAACTGGAGACACCAAACTGCTTCTATTATTATTCAAATCTTTTATGCTATACTAGTTTTTCAATCAGTATTGTGAAATAACAATAACACTTTTATCGTTTTCGATCGGTTTTGGACATATCATCCACCTATCATCCACCCCTAACCTGGGAAGTAGCACTGTTTATGCCTATGCTTCCACAGTACATACAGTACAACAGATTTGGAAAGTCTCACAATAACTCATACATAATGTTACATTTACGGTAAACCATTTAAAGCTCATAGTATACTTCAATTGACACACCGATGATAGTTTTGAGATAACTCATACCTTAAGGTCTCTCTGCTTGAGAAGTTCCTCAACCTTCTCCTTTGTCAGACACCACAGAGGCATGTTGAGAATGTAGTTAAAATTTGGTCCAGAGAAAGAGCCAGAGTCCACTGAGCTGTCACTGTCATTACCACCACCATCCTCTTCCTCCAAAGACTAGCAATGTCATATCATGCAAAAAAAAGTATTTAGATATTGAGCTAAACATAACAAGTTAAATTGAAAGCACAACTGACCATACCATTATCAATACACTCAAAACTCACTTTATTTAGTCTTGTTCCCTGCTTTTTCAGAGGTCGTCACAGTGAAATTACACTAACATTAAAAATTATTATACACATGTTCTATGCAGCAGATGCCCTTCCGACCACAACCCAGCACTGAGAGTGCACTAATTCATAAAACCCCAGTGCTGGGAAACACCCATAAATTCTCTCCTTCACACACTCATACACAACAGTCAATTTAGTTGGTCCAAATTACCTATAGCGGTTGTCATTTGGACTGTGAGGGAAACAGGAGCACCCAGAGACCCACACAAACATGGGGAGAACATGCAAACTGTACACAGAAAGACCTCCTATTATAGCCGGGACTTAAACTAGCCACCTTCATGATTGAAAGGGACAATGCTATGCCCTGAGCCAAACATTTTAGTTTTTTTTTTCATATATATTATTGTAAAACAGTTTAGCCACAATGACAACTATTCAAATTACAACCCTAAATCAGAAAAAGGCCAGTAAAATGAAAGTATTGAAAACGCAAATAAAAAAGAAATTAGTAATTTTCTACATTTACTCTGACTTGTATTTCATTGGAGACAACACAACAAACATTTTTTAATGTATTCCTCATGATTTTTATAAATTTTTTAAATAAACTTGTATTCTAATGTTGGTTCTGGCAACACATAAAAAAAAAAAGTTGGGACAGTAAAGCATGTACCACTTTGTAAGGTTGTGATTCCTTTTCACAACACTTAAAAGATGTTTAGGGTCTGAAGACACCAAGTGGTTAAGGGCCCACTCACACTATGCTATCCGAACCATGCCCAGGCCCGTTTCCCGAATTGTATGAGAAGTGTGAGTGCTTTGAATCGGCCTCAGGCACGGTTCACTTGGCCGGCACTGGCCTGGTTGGAAGAGGTATGCCTGAGCGCGGTTCACTTGGGCCCGAAACTGAAAGCGAGACGTGACTTTTAAGGGACTGTTTCATATATTTATTAATCATTCTTACTGTTTAATGAACGCAAAATGTCTTAGTTTATTAAAGATGCAAACCCCTCACTGCACGACCTGCGCACCTTCAGCAAACCTCCTAATTCCTGAAGTACGAGGACTTTATGATTGTTTATGAGTGTTAAAGGTGGCTGATCTGTTCGGCAAAATATTTGACTGTGTGTCACTGCATATCAAACGACTTAAACAATATAACTAGAGAAATCTTGACTGTGCTGAGCGAGAGCGCTTCTGACCAGCGCATCATTGATGACGCAAGCATGCCTCGGTCCGAATGTAATGTGAGTGCGGGCCATGGGGGGAAACGGGAGGGTGGACAAGTGTGCTTTGGCCCGGGTCAAGGCAACTGTACATAGTGTGAGTACGCCCTAAGTGTTTCAGGTGTAATTTTGTCCACTTCTTTTACCCAACAAGTGAGCAACAGTATGGTGTCTTCGTTGTCGCATTTTGCAATTCAAAATGTGTCACACATTCTATATTGGGACAGGTCAGGACTGCAGGCAGACCAGCCAAGTACCTATATCCTCCACAGCAAAGACTTTGTAATGTGTGCAGAATGTGTTTTTGTGTGTGAATGTGTTCCAAAATCTCTATGTATTTTTCAGCATTAATGGTTCCATCATCAATTTACCTTTATCAAGAGAACTGACACAACCCCATACCATGACAGACCCTGGCCTTTGGACTTACTGTTTGGAGGTTTGGGGGGGCTGTTTTGGGGGGGTTGGATTCTTCCCCCCTTTAGAATTGCCCTATCTGCCCCCCAGCGGCGCCCCTGGACATGTGTGCCGTTAACTGAGGTGCTAGGGTGGATGAATACACTATGTGTTTAGTTGTGTGACTGCCTCTTAAATGTATGAACTCATCTCATACAAAAGCAATATCTAACATCTATACATGCTAACATACCTTCTCTTGAGCTTTGTTCCAGGCTGCAACTGGGTCAGACTCATATCCTCTTTGCACCAGCATGCGGATCAAATCTCTTTTTGATTTGTTCTCTGGCAAAATAACAAACAATTAAAGCACAAAGAGAACACAGGGATTTGTAAGATTTATTCTAGACTTTAAATGGCACATCTATCATTTGTCCTCTTTAGTAAAATAGTACTGACGCAAAGTTTCTACTAACAATTTACTTAATTGTTACCATTGACATTACCTGCAAACATGTTCTGGGTTTACGCAGGCACAGTGGGCTACAGCTATCCCACACCAAACCTAAACAGGCCCAGTGAGGTATGGCCAAGGCTAGACGGAATCTGCTGACGTTTTTTGCTATTTCTGCTGTGAATTTTGGTAAAAAATCTGTGGATTTCTGCGGAATGATTTTGGGAGTATCATAGCTAAAACCTAAATATATGAAATAAACCAAAATACCTTTTTAACTTTTATTTAATGTTTAAAATGCAAATCCAATTAGATTCACTTTATTTGGTAAACAAAGCAAGTCTCTCATATAATATCTCTACTAAAAGACAGAAAATATTACTGTACAAACTGCATTGTACATAAATCTCATGAACATTTTTACATTAGTCAATAATATTACTTTAATTAATAATAAAAAAAGAATAAATACAGATTTACACACATTTACTAAAGTAAATAAACAGAATAAATTATGGGCTAAAAATCAGTGGAAATTTGCAGAAAATCTGCAGAATTCTGTGTGGGGAGATTCCAGTTATTGGTTCACTGCATGCTCTTTGTGAGCACCCCACACTTGCATACAAGACCAGCTCTTTTTAGCCCAGAGTGGCTCTTTTTTAGGGCCCATACAGGTTTTTTTTCGTGTAGGGAGTCCACTTTCGTTTCCCATTCCCTGTTTTACATTCGGAGAAATAATCACTGCCATCCATTTATTGACAGATTACACAGGAAGAATGAGTTTTGCCAATGAATATTTTTTAATAATTATCTTTTTTTCATACAAAGAGATATACAATATATAGCAGATAGGGAATGACAGCAAGACAGACAATGAGTATTTTAGCACAAAAACATATTTTCCACTGTAATTATTTTTTATTTTAAAAGTTGATTTTGTTTTATTTTTATAAACAATTTGTAATTCCTTTCGCAGTATTAGAGTTAGTGTGGGCCTAGTGAGGGCTGACAATGCAGGCAAGTATGGGCCAATGAGCAGTATCTCAGAAGTGCCTTCTGTTTGCAGACCACTGGGGGCCCTTAGTCTAGAACTAAGTGTAAAGAGCAGAGGTGCCCAAACTCGGTCCTAGAAGATCAGTGTCCTGCATAGTTTAGCACCAACTTCCTTCAACACCTGCCTGGAACTTTCTAGAATATTTAGAAAGAGCTTGATTAGCTGGTTCAGGTGGGTTTAATGGGGGTTGGAACTAAATTCTGCAGAGCACCGGCCTACCGGGACTGAGTTTGGGCACTCCTGTTATAGAGCAACTTAGTATAGTTTACCAAATACAGCAGCTGTTGGAACAAATAATGTATTTTGTGACTTTTTTTAACAAAGAATTTAGTTGATTAGTTTTTGAATATGTGATTTATTCATAAGACCAGGGCCTATTTGAAAATGTGTTTTGATGCGTCATTAATTGCTTACGTTCCTGCCAAGGACACCCTTCTAGTGGACAGTTATTCTGCACTTGGATTTCTGTATAGTTGTTAAACACACTGCAGACTTTGGGTGTTAAGTGCAGGTTTTATGTATTTTTTCCTAATCTTTGAGCAATATCATCAAGACATTAGAATACTTAAACACTACTTTTTTATTAGTAACAGCTTTTGTCCGGCTGTGATCAACTTAAGATGTGAAAGTAGTTACATACACAGTAGGGTTTTCCGTTATTTCTATATTTCTTTACACGCTTGTGTCATTGAATTGTTGTTTAAATTTAATTTCACGTTCATGACACTGCGATATTGCTGCAATGCTAATCTACAGTCATGACACAATGCTACTCATTTGAAGTATATGCATAACTTGTGTTTTTCAGCCAATGACAAACTACTGGTGAAAGGTTATAAGGTTATTTCACAGCATCGACCTCATTATGTTATTAAAATACAATCATTTAAATAAATGTAAGCATTCATTTTGTCGTTCTAGCATAAAATGAGATGACAGACCGAGTAACTGCTAGCGCCGTCAGTCCCAGCAGGCCAGCACAGAAACTCCATTTAAAATACTGAGGTAAAATAAATGTTCATATTTTAAAGAGATGGCAAGGAAAAATGGAATTTAATGCAGTGCTTCGTGTCCGGTATGAGATCCCACTTTATATCAAATATCTAATCTAAACGTGGCAATTTTGTAATGGAAAGACAGTTCACTGGAAGCCGTCGGGCTGGCTGGCTAAAAAATTTTAAGTCTGTCTGCATATACATCATTGCTCATACACAAACACACACACACACACATGGACAGGATAAACAAAAAGTTGATGTATGAATAAAAATCTTACCAATCGATAGTTTTCCTTCAATCTTCTCTAGAACAAATCGTGCCTGGTTTGACAGTTTGGCAGATTCAGCACCCAAACTACCCACCAGCCAGTCTTTCCTCAATTTATAATAATGTAGGCGCAACTCAAAAAACTCTTTCAAGATCTCCTGTACAGACTCGTATCGCTTCATACAGCCCATGTGATCAAACAGCACCTATCAAAGACAGAAGTATGAGAAAAATAATGTACTGTAGAGCTAAAATAATTGTTTAAAACTCAGACTATTAGTAATATAGTTTCACATTTTAATTGTAAAACATTGTTAATTATTAAGTCCCTCAAAATACCATGGTTTGAAAAAACAAAACAAAATGACAGTAAACACTGTCAAGTGCAAAACATTACAAGTTTCTCTCTTGCATAATATAGTAGTGCTGCAGTGCAACTGTATTGTAATGCAGTGTTTGCTTTGCTTTGGTATTTATGATGTTAATGTGTATGAATTGTAGGATGGGGTAGAGAAATTCAGACAAAGTTTAAATCTACTGTTTTCGAATTATCGTCTTTTAATTCCTGAGGCAAATTAAAGAGCATACTGTAGGTTAGACACCCCAGTGAGACAATGTGTGTAAGAGTAAAGTAGGAACTAGATTTTCTTTAAAATATACATTAAAGTTTATTATTAAGCCATTTGGAGTCGTTTTTAGTCACGGAAATTTGCTTCCGCATCTGAAAAATCGCCAGACCGGAAGTGACGTTGGATAAGGGAGTTCGCGCAAATAACACTATGAAGACAACGGATCGCGGTGCGCGTTTAGATGCCGAGATAAGATATTCTGAGAGACTCACACAAACAACAGACCACAGCCATACAATTATAAGCCTGTGGACAGACCAGCAGACAGAACAGCAGTCAGAGAAGTGTAATTTAACTCTATTGTGAGAAGAACCGAGCAGGTTTATAGTGAGACTAGTGTTGGCTTACAGAGAGATATGCACAAAATCTTTTCTGGCAATAGCAAAGCTAGAATTAATCATCTATAAATATTAATACTTACCAGTAACAAAAACTAATGAGCATTTAAGTTATGCCACATTGACCATATTTTTTAATAGTAGATAAGTGAACACAAAACACAAATAACACAGAACATCTGGAATAATGCAGAAACATGTAAACAAGGTACTGGAAAATCTTTTTATTATACAAAAGGATTTCGGAGCTTTTGTATTATAATAAAAACAACATCAAATATTAAAACAATTAAAATAAGTTTTTAAATATGTGTCTTTTTGTCATTTTTTTCATTGGGTATAAGATTATCTGTATCAGATCCCATTTAGGCAACAATCCATAAAAAGACAAGTATAGTTGTTACAGTATAAAATATTTACAAAGATTTGATTAACAGATCTGATCTGCATTTATGGTTAAATAAACTTCAAGTTCAGATTCTAATTCAACTCAAGTTCAAGTTTTATTTATATAGCACAAAATCATAAGCAGTGTTAATACCAGCATTTTTACTCTTTATATATGTATAGGTATCTGTGTGAGTGTGTGTATACTGAAAGAAAAATATATTATCTGGCCCATTTAAAAGTAAACCTAAAATATTTTTTCAGTAAGTTGCCCAACATTTATGTGGGTACCGCACTATCATGTCTTTAATGTGTACGAGATTGTGAATGCTGTGTAAAAAGATGCCGACAGCCTCATCCTTGTAAACCCGCTGGAAGGATCTAGAAAGGAGAGCAAATGTAATGCAAAGTTCTGCATTCTCGTCGAGCCTGTGAAGACCTCCAGGGCCGGCGCGTCCATGGCGGCGTCCGCGACACTACCCTCACCACCCGCGTCCTCAGTTATGTCCGCGCATAGGGCAGCAGAATAGAGAGGCTGGCATCCGCGACACTACCCTCACCACCCGCGTCCTCAGTTATGTCCGCGACACCTCCTCAGTTATATCCGCGCATAGGGCGGCGTCCGCGACACCTTCTTCACCACCCGCGTCCTCAGTTATATCCGTGCATAGGGCAGCAGAATAGAGAGGCTGGCGTCCGCGACACCTCACTCACCACCCGCGTCCTCAGTTATAGATTTTAAAATTCACCGTATGTTTTATAATATAACATAATACAGAAAACCCAGCCACATTTGCAGACCCCTGGATAGTGAACTGCAAACCATCTTACAAAACTTATACAGTAGACTGTACCGTGTACAGCTCTCATTTTCATCGAGCTGCATCTTCGACTGATCCAGGAGTGTTTTTCGCCATTCGCGTCTTATCAAATTCATCCCATTTCATGAACCAAAATAGCGACAGGAAACTTGTGGACTTGATCTGTTGACAGGCTGGAGTTTGTGCAGTTCCCATAAACACAATAATATAGCATGATGATGATAAATTACGCCAAAACTAACAACCATTTCTGCTATAAGCTCCTCTGCCCCACTGTATGCAGCGCACGTCTGTCAGATAAGTCCCGCTTTTGACGTCACCGGGGTGGTTAGAAAAATAAGCCGAAGTGGAAAACAGACAAATTTTCTTTATATTTGTGCCTTTGCACTTCATAAAACATTTTGGTAACACTTTACAATAAGGTTCATTAGTTAATGCATTTACTAACATGAACTAATCATGAACAACACATGTACAGCATTTATTAATCATAATTAAACATTTACTAATGCATTATTAACATCCAAGTCCATGCTTGTTAACATTAGTTAATGCACCATGAGTTAACATGAACTAACAATGAACAACTGTATTTTCATTAACTAACGTTAACTAACATGAACAAATACAGTACTAAATGTATTGTTCATGGTTTGTTCATGTTAGTAAATGCATTAATTAACATTAACTAATGAACCTTATTGTAAAGTGTGACCAACATTTTATTATGGTATTTTATGGTATTATAGAGTACTTTCACAAACGATTTTACCTTTTTTTGAAACAGTTTTTTAACCTACAATATGCTCTTTAAAATGAACATGGCTTGGCATTAAATAAATTGCTCAAATGATTTTTTTCGTACTATGTATATTCAAGACAAAATTAAAAAAAAAATATTTTAAAAACATACATAGCGAGATGAAAGAAGCTGTCCATGAAAAATGAGAGCTAAAAAATATGCTGTGTTAAAAAAAAATAGAATATTAAAATTAAATGCTACTTTTAGTGCCATTTCTTTGAATATTTACTAGTTTAAAATTGTTGTTGAACATTATACGTTGTATTTTTTAACTGAACTGAATTTTTTGGAAGTGAATTAAGGTGAATATTGAATTTAAGCACTAAAAGGTGTGTGTGTAAACAGTACTGAGGTTTGGTTCGCATTGCCAACAATAATAATGATTCTGTTGGCTTCATTGGACATGGATCTTCAACATGCACTAGGTTGGTATGCTGCCAAGAGTGATGTGGCCAGGATGAAAATACCAACTACCACAACCTTCTTGAGGGAATGTTTTATCTTTCCCTGGAAGATGGGATTGAAAAGATGGCACCTTTCAAATCCAGCATTGTGATTGGATGACTGTGAGGTGGTCACATTTGCATAGTTATTGTCCACAGTTAAAACTATTTAAAAGTATTGAAATATTTTACATGCATAATTTATTTTTCTTTGGGGAAGGCCTCATGATCCCCCATAAGAGCTAGAAGCACACTTGGAAGCATACCATTCCAGTGCATGCTGAAGGTCCATATCTGTCGCCACTAGCTTGCATGGTTTGGAATCTGTAGAACTATGCAGCGATGGGTTGCTCTTTAGTTTTTGGACTCTCAGTAGTGATTATTAAACAACATTGAACTGAGCTGAACTGAACTTAAACTTTGAAAAATTAACGACACCGTTTCAATTTATGATCTTTTATGTGAAGCTGCTTTAAAATAATCTACATTGTAAAAGCACTATACAAATAAAGGTGAAAAGTTGAAAAAAAGTGATGAAGCCAACCGAAGACCATAATTAGCAAATAGCAGAGATGTCATCCCGTGGTCCCCAAACAAGACCCCCTAACCCTAGGCTCTACCAAGAAATTCTTTCCACAAAAATGAGAAACAAACTGGTCACAAAGGGCAGCCCTGCTGGTGTCCAACATGCACCAAGAACAAGACTTATTGCCAGCAATGAGATCCACACACTGCTCTGTTCATACAGGGATCAGACAGCCCCCACAGAATGCCATGAGATAAAAAAAAAATAGAGAAATACATGTGTGTGCACATGAACAGTATATTTTCAAAAACTCTGTTTAAAAAATCATGTTTTTTACTTGTGTGCTGAGGAAAACAATTGCAAAAACATGATTTATACCAAATCAAAACATTAGTGCCAAGAGGAATTAAATTGTATGATGTTAATGACATTTAAAACTTAAATTTTCATAAACATCCATTTAATGACAGTGCTCTTAATGCTAAATAACCCTGAATAGAGTGTGAAATTTTGTTCGCTTGAATCAGAAGCATTAGAAGGGACGTACCATGGAGTTACAGGTGAGTGATGACTGTAATTTGAAGACCTTGTGAAGACCGGCTGCCTCTGCCTGTGCCAGTTTCTCCTCTGTCATGCGCACCACAAACTTCACAGTAGTGTCAGTGTGGTATTCCTTATAGTCGCTGATCAGAGGAGGGGTTTTATCTGTTCCTTGGAGCATGGGCTCCAGAACTGACTCTTTGTAAGCCTAAAAAAGAAAAGAAAATAGATTATATAAGATAATTCCTGGACTCTTCAGTACAGCATGATTCTAATTAATACATATTTCATTAAAACAAGACAAGTGACCTTACCTGAGTCCATGTACGAACAGGAAGTTCACTAATCTCGATGGTATTTTTGTCTAGCACGGACACTTCTCCACTGACCAAATACTGGTTTTGTCCCAGTTCATGAATGGTACCTTTAAAGTTCTTGTAGCTGGGAAGCTAACAAAACGTGAAATAAATAGAATGAGCATTTCAAGTTTAAACCAAACTTGAGCTTGATGATCAATACATTTTTACAGAAAAATGCACACCTTCAAACTGATACAAAACAATTGTATTTAAAGACAATAATACCCCTTATAATAAGGAAGAAATATTAGTATACTTCTTTTAAAAAAAGTAAATATATAAAATAAATAAAAAAGCAGTCTACCTTTTATGTACTTCTTTAAATGTATTTTCTTAAAAAAAAGAAGATTAATGTTTAGAAGTTTAAGAGTATTATTAGAATACTTATTTTAAAGAAACAAAAAATAAAGTATACTTTCAGTTTGCTTTTTATAAACTTCTTTGAAATGTACTTTGGGTATTTCTCAGAAACATTGAACTTAAATATACTTGACTTGTACTGACAGAAAAGTTTAGTATATTTTAAATACTTGTTCAGTGACAAATACTTAGTAGTATATTTTAAGTATACTTGGATTGTAGTTGTTTTTACTCTTGATTGAGTGGCCTATTTATATTATTACATACTCCTCTGGTTTTAGAGATAAAGCTAGCCCTGAACCTAACCACATGTTTGAGCTGTCTGAAATGAAAATAGTTGAAGGGCCATATCGTAAAATACAACAGTGTTATTGTTTTGCCTAAAGATGCAAATGTTTTTCTCTACTTTTTTATAACATCTATTTGAATGACACAGTTTAACTAAAGCCTACACCAGTGGAAAAATAGTATTCTTATTAAATAAGATTCAAATCTTGTTTTAAAAGTATTTTTAAATTTTGTGTTTGGTATATTATAAGAATTGTTAGCACATTGGGGCAAAGTCTATCTGCAAACCAAAATCAGCAAACCATTCACTCATTCATCTTCTTTTCGGCTTAGTCACTTCATTAATCTGGGGTTGTCACAGCGGAATGAACCGCCAACTTATCCAGCATATGTGTTTTATGCAGCGGATGCCCTTCCAGTTGCAACCCATCTCTGGGAAACACCCATGCACAACGGACAATTTAGCCTACCCAATTCACCTATACTGCATGTCTTTGTTCTGTGGGGGAAAATCGGAGCACCCGGAGGAAACCCACGCGAACGCAGGGAGAACATGCAAACTCCACACAGAAACGCCAACTGACCCAGCCAAGGCTCAAACCAGCAACCTTCTTGCTGTGAGGCGACAGCACTACCTACTGCGCCACTGCGTCGCCCATCAGCAAACTAAAATATAAGATGAAAAGATATTTGAAAAACAAAAAGAAAATACTGTTATTTGGGTCAGAGTCATTATTTGAAACTTGTTAATGTGTTGTTTTTATGTATATAGACGCACACACAATACAAACAAAACAGTATGACTTGAAAAGTATGAAAAAGCGAGCAGATATTACAATATATATTCCCTGTCTTCAGCCTAGTCTTTTTTTCATGCAGCTAACAGAAGCTATCAGACATAATTTTTAATCTTAGCTTATGCTATTTCTGTATCTGAATAACATGTTTGTTTCTGCATTCTCTAAGCATGTGGCAAGTATTTGTGCACTCCAATGCTTCATATTTCAGTGCAGAATAAAACAGAGATTAAACACAGGAACACTATTTGGGCAGCAATTGTTCATATTGTGGCTTTTCCTCCTTTCTTATCAACACGTGGCTGCAGAGACACCACATCAGGTGCACTGCTGGTCACCATGCTTTCACTTTGCACAGCTTTCAATTAAGGCATGGATTCCAACCAGGTCCTCTGTGCTACTGACACTTAAATTGCAATAGGTGTTTGTCCTCAGAAAAATGTTATGTCGCACTGGTTGAAAGTCTCTTCACATTCCAATATTAATGATGAAATTAAATGATCTACATGTACACTGCTCAAAAAATAAAGGAAACACTAAAATTACACATCCTAGATCTGAATGAATGAAATATTCTTATTAAATACTTTCTTCTTTACATAGCTGAATGTGCTGACAACAAAGTCACACAAAAATTATCAATGGAAATTAAATTTATTAACTCATAAAGGTCTGGATTTGGATTCACACTCAAAATTTAAAGTTTAAATTAAAATGTGTTACCATGGGTAGAGGATCCTGATGGTTGAGCATACGGTTGATGTTGTTGACAATCTCTCGTGGGTCATAATTGGGAATCTTGCATGCCCACCCAGTCCCAATACCCTCAGCTCCATTTACCAGTACCATGGGAATTATGGGTATGTACCATTCTGGCTCCACCTTCTGGTTGTCATCATATAGAAACTTTAGCAGACTGGAGTCCACAGCAGGAAACAGCAGTTTGGCCAATGGACTAAGTGATAAAAGAAAAAAATGTTTTCTTTTTAACAATTTTGGTGAGTGCGTGTGTGCCATATAGGGTTATAAATTCAATATTATAGTTATTAACATTAATGTTTATAACTATGTGATACTGAATGAACAAATCAAATGAAAGCAGGTGTCAAATGGATAAACCCTTTAATTGTTTGAAATACGTTTCTTAGAGGTTTTCAGCTTTCTTTGGATTAACTTCTTTTGTGTTTAACTTCTCATAAAGCTCATAAAGGTTTAAAACCTCTTGAGGGTGAGTACTTTTTCCCTTTTGGGTCAACTAACCCTTTAAGGTATTTATTAAACTGTCAATAAAAGCACTAGAGCTACTTGATGCCTATACCTACCTAAATGTACCTATATAAACAAAATTGATAACAATTGATAATGAACATAACTCATTTGTGCTTATGAATGTACTGATAAATTGACATAATTATTTCTAATTACTTTATAAGAATGGGCATTAAAACATGTATTAAAATATGTATAATATATATATAGGTGGATAAAGTGAGGGGGAGGCTGGCCCCTCACTTTGCAATTCATTATCAAAACGAATAATATCTTACCTAAGCATAGTAAAGATGTAACGAGGACTGGCAGCATCTTTACCCCCATTAATACGGGTACCGAACTGTCCGAGAGGCTGAAGGATGTTGACATTGTTGCTGCCGACAAAGTTCTGGGCCAAATTCACGATAGTCATCATCAGGGCTTGCTGCAGAACAGATATATTTTCTTGTAAGAACATCTTTCATTCTGTTCAATGTGATCTATTTCCAAACTCAATTATTACATATGATCCTTTATCATTTGTGGTTCTATTAGTTATGATTAATTAATATATTTACCTTCAATACTTATACAGCATTTATTACTCATAGTTCAGTATTGCATTATTAAAAACAAACGTTATTTTTGTTTACATTAGTTAATGAGCTCTGTGAGTTAACAATGACAAACAATTAATGACTTTCATTAACCAACATTTGTCCTTGTATTTTGATCTTGTTTGATGTCTCGCAATTTCAGTCATGTTCGGTTTCAGTTTGCACCAGAACATCATTGGCACATTTGTGAGAGCATGGCTCTCACCATGTGCTCTAGTCTCGCATGCTGTTTTGTATCTTGAGGTTTCATTTGTGTAGAACGTGGCTCATGTTTACATGTAGTTTATGCCTATGTTCTTGTTCTATAAGCACATGGTGCTGTTTTTTTTTGCCATGTGCTCTTTTGACTACTGTCTAGTCCAGGGGTGACTTGACCCCTGGTTTAGCCACACCATTCATTTTTTCCTATTATTAGTTGTCTACTTGCCCTGCCCATTCTCTATCACCTCATGATTTGCTCCCTTTATAATCTTGTGCTTGATTCCTGAGCAAAATAGGTCATGCTTCTTACTTTGCTTATTTTTTAACTTAAATAAAAATAAAATTTCTTGCTTCCAGGAATTCTCACGGCATACCATCACCCCAAATTCTCACAGTTGCCATGATATCTTACAGTTGTGTAAAATGTGTTTTTCAAGAACCAAGCAAATAAATCAACCTTTAATCGGCACTTCACAAAAACAAACAAAAAATTGCAATTATTTACCCTAGTGATGACCATGGTAAAAAAATGGTAGAATGATAAAAGGTACAATGGTCAAGAATTTTTTGCTACAAACCTCGCCATGATGATATGCAGACATCTCAGCCACAGATCCGGCCAGCTGGGCCACTTTGACTTCTCTTTTATCGTTCCTTTTTACACAGGTAAACAACACCTTCCTCTGGCCTGGCTTTAGACCTGCATACAGCAGATGACATAAACATGAAGTTTAGAAACCCAGTTAAACCCAGGACACAGTTATTCCAAAAGATATAAATTTGCTCAGCTAATAAAAAAAACACACATTAGAAACACACAATCTTTAAGTTTAATTGATAAAAAAATACATAATTGAAAATACATACCATCAACAAGTGATGGAATTGAACGCTCATTGTCAGAATTGGAGAAGAGGATGAGTTCTTTATTGATGAAGTCATTGTAGGACAGGTGTCGTGTTGATGTGCCATACAAGTATTGCTGTAATGAGAAAATAAGAAAGTGTATCAGTTCATAAAATAATTCACTTTTTTGGAAAAATTCCCTAGCTTTTTTTATGTTCTGTTATAATATATTTTACATGCTTTCTAAGCTTAAATTGTCGTACATTCTTGCCATTTTAGTTTGTAGACTGAAACCTCTGCCATTTATCTGTATCCACGTCACTTATGGGTGAATAATGCCAGAGCCGCACTAATTGTTCGAGCCATTTTCAGGCCTTTCTGTTGAGCATGGGAACACAATTATTAATCTCAGGGGCTTAAGAACCCGCTCAACAATGCTCAAAAAGCAAGCGACATAATATTTATATTTGTTTATTTGCTATAAATGTTTTCTTTTAGCAGGTCAAAATAAAAGTACAGTTCATATATCTGACTGCTTGTATTATTTATATAAATAATACATAAATAAAAAAAAATTATAAATGATACATTGTAATACAAGAGTTATGTGAAGAAAAACCTAAAATTGTTTTAAGTATTGTCAATGCACTGGGAATGTCATAAAATTTAATGTGGAAAATGTAACACAATCTAAATGTAAGCGTTTTAAAGGTTGTATATATCAATATATGCCGTTAAAGTGAGAATTATTAGTCCCTGGAGTCTTCTGGAGAAAGTCTTTGTTTTATTTGGGCTAGAATAAAAGTTTTTAATCTTTTTAATGAACATTCTAAGGTCAAAATTATTAGCACTATTAAGCTATATATTTTTTCAATAGTCTACAACAGGGTTTTTCAAACTGTGGGGCAGGGTGCCAGCACCTATTAAGTCGTGCACTCGAGTAAATTATGATGACAATTTTTATGCATTCACTAGAGTGAATATGATAAACGTTAGCTCCACAGCTAACTTTCAGGCACATGTAGAGTTAATGCATTCTAGTTAAACGTTCTAAATGTTTGAAAACCCCTGGTTAAACTATCGTTATACAATAACTTGCCTAATTACACTAACCTGCCTAGTTAACCTAATTAACCTAGTTAAGCCTTTAATGTCACTTTAAGCTATATAAAAGTGTCTTGAGAAATATCTAGTAAAATATGTACTTTTATCAGGGCAAAGATAAAATAAATCGGTTATTAGAAATGAGTTATTAAAACTATTTTGTTTAGAAATGTGTTAAAATAATCTTTAAGTTAAAATTAAAAATGGGGGGCAAAATAAACAGGGGGGCTAGTAATTCTGACTTCAACGGTATATGATGTTATATATATATATAACTGTGCAGCGCTAGTGGGAACGGAAAAATGTGCTCATTACTATAATTAATACATGTTGCTTGATTTGTTCAAAAACAAATAATGATTAATACTTACATTTTAATCAGATTTTAAGTAAATTAATACTTAAATACTTAAAGGTCTAATTAAAGCTAACTCCAGTGTTGCAAACAAATGACTAGCTACCTGTGCATGTGTTAGTACCATGCACATCTCAGTGATAATGACTAAACAATATTTCTGTAAATACCCATAAGCATAATACTTAATACGCTGCGTTTGCTTGAACAACTGGAAATACTTTTCATTTGACATGGAGTGTATAATGAATGCATTACCTCAGGAAGTCCATGCATCCTCCTTTGTCGTCTGTCCTCCATGAAATTAGTCAGCCACTCTTTCCTGTCATCCGTTTTCTTCTTGCTGAAAGCCTACAGACATTATGTTCAAGTAATATGCAGTTAATTATTGAACAAATGCAATACTTCATCAACATAATTAGTGAATAAACTAACCAGTGTAATGGCCGCATCATCTTCAGTACCATTGTACTTGAACATAATGCGATGTCTTTCCATGTCTGAAAAATATTCCTTCGCTTCTTTGCTTGTGCTGGTACCCAAACCTGACAAATATGTAAAAAACATTTAGCCAAAAACTGCCACTTGTTTATAAATGCAGACTAATAGAAACAGAAAACCAACCTTTGTAGTACTTTATGTGCCAAGTTTTATAACTTTCTGTATGCTTCTTCCATTCTTCAAACTCTGGTATGCTGTAGAATGATACTTCCTGTTTATTCTTACTGGCCTGAGGAAAGAGTTTTAGAAACAAGTATAAAAACCTGCACTGATAAACTAAACATTTTCATTGCACAATCATTATACCTTCACAATAGGTGTGATGAACTCCTCCAGAAAGGTATGCTTCAGCAGGGATGGCCAGTTATGATGGAAGAAGTTAATCAGAAGACCCTTTATGTGAGAACCATCTTGATCCTGTTTAGAAATAAAAGAGGAATAGGTCGTGCATGCTTGCTGTACAGACACATTTACTTAAAAGGTGAGGTATCAAGCTCATTTTGCCCAATATCATGTTAATCTTGAGTACCTATAAGGTAGTTCAGCATCCATAGTATCCCTGAAATGTTTTAGTTTTTAATACTCTAAGAGGAAGAAACAGCTTTAAAATTAGCTATTTTTTAAATGCAGGCAGATCTGAATACTGAGTCAACAGGACTTGCTGCAGAACATGTATATTTTTTTGTAAGAACAACTTTCATTCTGTGATATATTTACAAAATAAAATTTTCACATATGATCTTTGATAATTTGAGGTTCTATTAGTTATTAGTTGATATACTAGCCTTCAATACTCATACAGCATTCATTAATCATAGTTCAGTGTTTACTAATGCATTATTAAAAATCAAAGTTGTCCTTGTTAACATTAGTTAATGAGCTCTGTGACAACAGTCAATGAATTACTTTATTTTCATTAACCAACTTTTTCCCTTATATTTTGATCATCTTGTTTGATGTCTCTCTTTTGAGATGAGATCTGAGTACTGAGTCATCAGCATGCAAGCTTAACAGAGCTTCAGAGAAAGACAAGATCGCAAAAATTGCTTGCCAAAGGTCAAAAATGATCAGTGTTTTAAGTAAGGTACTATTTGAGGTTTGAATTGAGTACACATATTTACTAGTAAAATAAAATGTGGGGTTTGTAAAATACATACTGATGTCTATGGAAAATGACAATAATAATCATTTCAACATTGTCTAATGTTGTGTGTTACTCACAACTGATATATTATAACACATATATTTGCTGCGTCCCAAATGGCACACTATACACTATGCACTCACAGACTATGTATGTACTTTTGCACTTACACACTCAACAGCATAGTATATGTATGTAGTGTCATCCCAAATGCAACACTAATGTTTTTTTACTAAGCGGAAATTAAACCCATTTCCTAGATGACGTTTGACGGTTGCCAAATTTGTGAAATAAATGAACAAAGTACTAAATAATACCTACCATGAGTGTTGCCACATTCTCCATTCGGAGGCGCTATAATCACTCTGATAGGAGAATTTGCTTTCACAATCCAAAATAAATATTGTTATCCAACATGTGCACTCGATAACTCCGCCACTTCTGCTACGTGAGCAAAATTGCAGTCGTTGAGTATGTGTAGTGTCCAACATTACACACTTAATTTTACCGGTCGAATGAGTGCTTTTTTGAATTTTCAGTGTAAATGCACTACTTACACTTTATACAACAAAATGGAGTAGAATAGTCCATAAGTATGTAATTTGGGACGCACCTATTGTGACGAGTGTCCCAAGGAGATATAAGTATCGTCCTGGAGAGCAACAAGGAACACCTGGGCCCTCCTATTCACAACTAATCAGCACCAGCTACAAATCATTTAAGACTGGCTACATAAGCCACACAGAGAAAACCAGAAGTGGAGATGCATTAGGATAAAAAAAGCAATAACGCTTATTTTCTCTTTCTTTTCTCCAAACAGCAATTGGTGACTGATTGGCTTCCCAGACACTCCTCATAGGCACTGAGCACCCCACGAACAGGAGCACACCACCCACTGGAGCACCCCTTGGGATCTTGCACTCATTCACCCTTGATGTAAATAAGCACATCCTCTGAGGTCTAAACTTGGTTTTCTTATCGTGTGATTCTTCACCCCTATACACTAGTGGAGTATGTGGGCAAAAGCGTGAAGAATCACTGACACTTAGACCCCTACTCAATATTGAATAAAAAAAAGGCAAGCACTCCCTCCCCCTACTGAATAGATGAACTTCTCCAGCTACTCACTGTGGTCAGCATTCACCAGCAGCAAGTGGCCGAGCATCTGGCTGTTCGTCAGGACCAGACGCGCAACATGTTCTGCTACCAGACCCTTGGGCCAAAGCTAACCCCTTATGATAACACTAAATCCTACTTCCAAATGTTTGAAACCACAACTACACATGAAAGGTGGAATGTCGATGACTGGCCCCCCTGCTAACTGATGAGGCTCAGAGCACCTACTTTTCACTCTCCGCTGGTGCAGCTACCATCTTTCTGACCCTGAAATGTGAAATACTAACCCATATGGGACTGCCATCCACATGTGCGGCCCAACAGTTCTTTGAGTGGATGTATAAGCCCCATCTACCAGCCCACACCCAAGCGGTGGATCTCACATGGCATATGAGACATTGGCTGTTGGAGAAAGACCCAATGCCTAGTCAGGTAGCAGAACGGGTGGTCCTTGACAAATTGCTCCAGGCGCTTCTCCGATCCAATTGCCGAAAAGTCAGGATGAGAAACCCCTTAATCCCCCTGGAGCTCGCTGAGATATTTGAACTGGCAGATGTGACTCTACATCAGGAAGGAGTGAAATGACCAGGGTGAGCTGGAGGGCCCTCAACGACCCGTGAGCAGGCTGATGGCTCCCTCTCCACCTGATGAGTTCATGCCAACAAAAGTTCCAACACCCCCACCTCTCTGTCAGGCTGCATCATACACCAAGATCCACTCTAGAAGGAGCCCCAGAAGCAGAAGTCAAGATCAACAAAAAACTGTTCCAGGCCCTATTTGATTAAGTGTGTTTAGTCTCGTACAGGCAGTAATCTTGGCCCCCAGGCTGGGTCAAAGACCTTCCTGTCTACATGGACACCCGTCAGGTCCCTGCCTGCCATGTAACCATTTCAGCTGGCCCCAATGCCTGGCCAGTCGAGGTGGGAGTGGTGTGAGATCTGCCAGTTATCTTAACCTCAACCTAGCAGAATGGCCTGCTTTACTGGATAGCAAAGCTGAGGAGGAAAAACCACTGCTGGTTTTACCTCGCTTGAAGACAGAGGCGGTACTGGATCTGGCCCAATCCCATCCCATCTCAGGACACCTTAGGGTTACCAATATGGTCCAACAGATACAGGTTCTGCCAGGCCTGCTTCACATGCCAGCGAACCTCTTCAAGAACCACCTCCCTCCACCCCACTTGCAAACTAGCCGGTTGAATTAGATAATTTCAGATTTTTCATGGTTTTTACTAGAAACCATAAAAAGTGGTTATGTGCTTTAATACTGCACGGTGAACAACTGCATGATTTAATCATGATTCACACAAACCAACAACATATAACATGTTGGGTAGTTGTATAATTGTATACAATCTATTATAGTTGTATAATAAATTGTATAAATCCTAAATATGAAGTGAAAAAAAAAACATAACCAGACTATGAGAAATTATGCTACATAAAACATACTGGCACAAACCTAGAACAATAATGCAGATTCAATTATTCATCTCTGTGCAGATTAAAAATGCAAATTCATTCACTTCCAGCTGAGGAAGCATATAGAAATTTGGCAGTAACAGCATTCCATTGGTTACTACTGGGGAGAACGTGGGGAGAACATGCAAACTCCACACAGAACCGCCACCTGACCCAGCCGAGGCTCGAACCAGTGACCATTTTGCTGTGTGGTGACAGCACTACCTACTGCGCCACCGCGTCACCTTTAGTTCATTTCATTGTGGTTTATTTTTAACTGCTGAAATTCCAAACACTGAACACCAATAATAGTGCAACATGATTTGTGGTACATTCACAGTTAAACATGTTTCTTTATTTGAGTCCTTGTAAGATGGAGTTTAGGTAAAGTGTGTGGTGCATATACAGAGTGTTCTGTCCGTAGTAGTGTATTGGTAGTATTTTCCTCCCGTTCTTGCTTTCTCTCTTTCTTGCTCTTTCTCTCCCTCTCCGTGCCTGTCAAATTGTTGGGTCCTCCAACACAGACAGCTGATTCGTCAGGAGACCGGTCCGTCATGATTGGGTGACTTGGCACGGCCACAATAAAAGGATGCCAGAAAGAGCAGAAGGAAGCGCACTTTCCTTTAATGTTGTTTTTGTATAATTTAAGTTTTATTTATAATTACATTTTAACAGTAAATTCTTTACTAATCTGAACTGAATCAGCTTTAACTTTAACTACACCAGCATTCTAAAACTAATTTCTTGTCTGCCAAATTTGATGGAATGTTCCACAAATATAGTTAAAATATAGTTATGGATTTTTTTTTCTTCAACTATGTTAAGCTGCTTTGACACAATCTACACTTTATTTTTTATAGTACAAAAAGCTCTATAGAAATAAAGATTAATTTGATTGGTCTTCAAAGTGTTTTAACAAATATAAATCCATAACCAAGAAACATCAACTTCATAGATGCCACCAAAATGATCTACCCTCAGCAGATTTTCTCAACATCTGTAGGGAGGTCGAATCCAAGCTACAGAATATCCAAGACTCATGGCTCAGATAGAAGGCAGATGAGATAGAGATATGCTGGCACACACAGCTCAAAGAATTTATTTGAGTCCCTGACAGCTATCTATGGTCCTCAGCCTTGTGGGTCATCTCCGCTGCTCAGCATGAATGGGACTACACTCATCACGGACCAAGGCCAGACTCTGGAAAGATGGGCACAGCACTTCAATGCAGTACTGAACTGACCATCATCCATAAATGACAAAGCTCCTGGCCCAGATGACATTCCTGCAGAGCTGTATAAAGCAGAAGGCACTACCCTCCACTTTCAATCATAGGACTATTCTGCAGGAGTTTAAGGATGCCTCAATTGACTACTTATATAAGTAAAAAGGTAATAGGCCTTTTTGTGATAAGAAATCTTACTCCTGTCAGTGGCCGGTAAGATCATAAGCAGGATTTTGCTTAATCATCTGATCAACCATCTAGAACAGGGTTTGCTGCCTGAAAGTAGGCCTGAACGATGAATCGATTTTAAACTGAAATTGCAATTTGAAAAGGTGCGATTTTTTAAATTATTTTGATTATCACTATGGTGAGGGAGGCGAGTGCGAGAAATTAAAACAATCCAACTAACGTTACTTAAAAAGCAGACAACTGTTACAGAAGAACCGACGAGCCCCTATTTCACTGCAATGAAGAAAATGAAAGCTGTGAACTCTCTCTGCTCTGCTTCTCTCTCTCTCTCTGAGTGTGTAGACCTTTCACCTGCTTGCGTGAGATAACTTTTTCTCTTCTCTCTCGGCTGTTACAGTGACTCTTGTGGACCCACACACACAAGCGTGTTACTCTGCAGCACGAGTTTTCTCCACAGCGTCTATAATGGTTTAGCTGTGATAACCGCACATTATAGACTCTATCCGCGGCCGTTTATCTGTATCCGCGTCACTCATCTGTGAATAACGCCAGAGCCACGCTTACTGAAAGAGCCAATCGCAGCCCTTTTTGTTAAGTGCAGGAACAAAATGAACAATCATTGGCGTTTAAGATCTCGCACGACAATACTCAAAAAGCAAGCAGGATAATATTTACCTTAGTTTATTTGCTATAAATGCTTATGTTGTTCTGTGCATGTACTTGTTTGAAACATTCAAAAAGAGTGTTTTCTTTGAGCAGGTAAAATTAAAGGTACAGTTCATTTATCTGACTCCTTGTATTAAAGGAAAAAAATGTATTCCAAATAATATATAGATATATTTATAAATGATACATTTTAACACAAGAATTCTTGTGCTTTGAAGTAAAATCTAGAATTGTGTATGTAAAGTATTGTCAATGCACTGAGAATTCCATGAAATCAATATGAAAAATGTAACCCAATCTAAATGTAAAGGTTTTAAAGGTTTCATGAATCTTTACATAAGATTTTAGATATAATTTATTAAATTGGATTAAAAAGATAGCTTTAAATAAACAGTAGCATTGTGTAGTGTTTTTTGTGATTATGCTTGGTCTTTCTTTGGTGCTGTTAAAACCACCACATCAAACCTGTCGCTGTTTTATGAAACTATATTCAATCTCAAATCACAATCACAATTTTAAATAGAGATTTGATTTTTTTCTCCAAATTGTGCAGCCCTACCTGAAAATCAGTGTGGCTTCTGTGGTGGATGCGAAATAGCTGACATTATCTTTGCTGCCAGAGCAAATTTGCTTATGAGCATATTTTCTTGCCCAAAGAAATTTATCACCATTACTTATCAGTTCCATGATACGATGATGGCTCAGGTACAGGATGATGGCCAGTTCTGTTATGCCTTTCCTGTAACTAATGGAGTAAAACAGGGCTGGTAACAACATTATTTAGTCTGATGTTTACAGCCATGCTGTAGATTATCCAAAGCTTGTGATAACTTCGGACTCACCATCAAAATCACAAAGACAAATCATGCACCAGCCACCCCCTGAAAAAACTCTGTCAGAGACCATGTATTACAATGAAGGGTCAGACTCTGAAAGCTGTAGACAATTTCAGCTATCTTGGCACCCCTCTGTCCAGGAATGAATTCATAGATGATGAAGTCACCTGCTGCATCATTAAGGCCAGTAGAGCATTTGGAAGATTGCAAGGCAATGTTTGGAAACACAGGGGCCCAGGGACCACCCAGCTGAAAGTGTACCAAGAAGTTGTGCTCCCTACCCTGATCTATGCATAAGACTTGGACATTCTACAGAAGTGTCCTGTCTCTTTAGATTGCTCAAGATCCCACAGAAAGACAAAAGGTCCTGAAGAAGACCCAACCCCCCTTACCTTTGGAAGATGTTTGGACTGAAATGGGGTAGGTATAGTGTGTCATATTGGAGTGATATAAACATAGCAGCTCTCTTTTTTACTTTTGTGAAATTTCAGCAGTTTTGAATCCCAGTGCAGTTATCCCCACCCACTTGTTGATTGACAATCACATATTTAGCATGTCTCAGTATTACTGCATAGCCTATATCTTGTCCACAAGGCAGGATTTGCAAATTAAGTTAATTAATTTTTATAGCATTTTAAACTACACTTTCTGAGCTACGTAATTACTACTGAAATCACCACAGTTGCATAGTGTGGATGTGAAATCAGGTTTATTTTTAACAATAATCTTTAAAGGATCTCTATACAGCAACAAATGTACTCATTTGATGGGAATTCTGTCACATTTGGCATGAGTAGATGAGCAAAACAGCATCTGTTAAGTGTGTGCATGTGTTTGTGTGTGTGCACAGTGAACATTATAACAGCTTTTATGTGTGGCTCATATTTTACTATATTATTTGAGACGGTGGGTCTCTGTTTCATTGTGTCTGAGTAGCTGTTTACTTTTTGCTGTTTTTATGCTGACATCTGACCCCGGTTTATCTTTTTCTAAAGGGAAAAGTACTAAGAGTGGTCAGGAAGAACCAGCGCTTTTTTATTTAAAACTGTTAAAAAAGAGCATAATAACCGATGGCATAAACAAGGTGTAAGACCAAAAGGTACTTGAGGGTCAGATTACAAGAATCATACACTGCTGCATTAGCATCTTCTACTCAAATACAGCTCAGACTTAAGTGCAACTTTTAAAGAAATATGAAGCATTGAGTGAAATAAGTAAAAAATCCCCAAATGCTCACTAAATACAAACCTAACAGATTACTCAGATCATTAGGATTACGTAAATTAGAAATTCTAAAAGGTCAGTCAAAGAAAAATTAATCCACCTTCAGCTACTATGAAATGTGCTATATAAATGAATTTGCCTTGCATTGACTAAAAACACAGGTGCAAAAAAGGGTAAGTGATCTGATCAGAATTTTGACCTGAATGACACATTCTGGAAACGCAAAAGACTTATTTTACATCTTGTAAAATACGAGCTCTTCAAAGTAACTGTGACTAAACATTGTCAACTTTCCTTTACAACCAAAAGCATGTATTTAAAGGCATCTTTATCTTCTTCCTTATCTTAGTGTAGCTAGATGATGGGAATGCTCTTGCTGTTGTTCATGTGTGTGTGCACACCTACTACGAAAAGCCATATAAGGTAATTTTAAAAAACTTTCCAAAATTTGTTACAAACTGGAAGTATGATTTATGCCAAAGAAATACTCTTAGAGCAAATATTTTTTAAGCACTTGGTCTATGATTTGCATGAGAATACAACATTCTCTGTATAACAATGTAAATTGCTCTGAATGCAAAAATGTACCCCCTTTAAAAAATAGTGATATGAAGAACAATTAAAGATTCACACCTGATCTGTCATGATCATAATCCTTCCATAGCGTAAGCTCTTCAGGGACTCTGGATCATCATAGCTCTTCTTGTACTGAAGACCCAAAATTTTGATGATGTTGTTGATTTCCGCATTCTCCATGATCTACAACCAAAAAAGAGATCAACTTTAAGACAAAAAACTCAAAACCAATGATACTTAGTGTTTAATAATCCCATGCAATTCAGGGGTGTGAGAAAAAATTACTTCTCTAACAATTCATTTATTCTCTAACAGAAAATCTGTATTGATTCTCAAAAGTTCAGAATTTATTCTGTATTCAAATTAGATTGCGACACAACCTTTAAACAGAAAAAAGTGCTGATTGGCATACATATGCATGCTACAGAATCACTGTTCGCGGCTTGTGTTCAGCAAATATGTGTTGTGAATGAATGTGATCTAGGCCTACCGCACTTGCTTAATGCTTTGAAGAGTGACAAAACACCAAACCGCATTTTTAAGATGTTAACAGATTGCTAAAAAAAAACCCTATTAGGACCAATATATTTCACTAAAAAGGAAAATTGGTTGTTTTTGCATTGTTTAAATCAAATTAGCTTTTCCAGTTAAAAAGAAATTTTGAAGCAAAGTCACGGCGATGAGATCATTGTGAAACTTTCAGCATAGAGATTTGCTGTTTTTACCAGCCAGTACAAAGTGTCATCATTAAGTTTTTAGCACGGCCCTTTAAGCTGAATGATAGTATCTTGAAAAAATACCTAGTAAAAAATTTATTACTGTCATCATGGCAAAGACAAAAAAATTTAGTTTGAATAAATTAGTGATTAACTCTTTTATGTTTAAAATGTGTTAAGAAAAATCTTCTCTGTTAAATAGTTTGTGAGGAAATATATAAGAATTATGATTTCACAAGAGAGCTAATATATTTGACTTCAACTCTACATTTTCTTAATGTTATAAACACATAACAAATTGTGATGGATGGTTTTGTGGGGAAAATAAATATAATTTTTCGTGGAATATGTTTGTTTTTTATAATTGCTCTTTGTAATTGGCTTCTTTTTTTTTGCATTTGGAGCTTGTTTTTCGGAATAATTATTTAATCAAACAAATTCTTTTTAAGATGACATACTGTCATAAATATAGAGATTCCAATTATTAAGCAATTATTATGCAAAAAAATATATTTTAAAACCAATGTAAATGTACAGAAAAAGAAATAGGAAAAGTTTAAATTAAGAATAAATTTGGAATCTAATCGTGACCTCAGAATCGGAATCGGACCTATGCTAAGATTTCGATAGGTTTACCTGTTTATGTGTGGCCTCCCTCACGTTGAGGATTTTTCCCCTAAGGGGAAACACTCCATATCGGTCCCGACCAATTACACCTAAACCAGATACAGCCAGGGACTTGGCTGAATCTCCCTCTGTAAGGATCAGTGTGCACTCTGAAGAGTGTTTGCCCCCTATATGGCAGAGAAACAGTTACTCACAGATTAACTGAACATTTAAAATAGCAGTTTTACAAAACTTCAAAAAGTTAAAAACACATTTTAGCACCAATTCTCTCATTTTCATAATTTTTAGATAAATTTATCAAATGACAAAAAATTGCAGAACAGCTATGACCATGATATATAAAAAATCAGAGTACATATTATATTATATATTATCATTTTCACATTAAGTTTCAAACTGCAGTACAAAATAAATTATATGAATTAAATGAATAAACTTTGTTTGCAGCTACTAATCCAGCCATCATGTCTTCAAAGATTGAATAGTGATTGGCCATAAAACAAAGAGCCTTGCAAGCCCTAATCATCTATTCAGTTTGCTTTATGAAAAAAACAAAAAAACAGAAATATATGTTTTGACCCATGTTGTGCAAATCTAATTGACAGATATAGCTATAAGTTTATCTGCTATAAGCTCACCTGCATCATTGGCGTCATCTAGTTTGGGAATACCTTTAATTTTACTGTGTTTGACAGAGGAGCATTTCTTGTTCAGCTGTGTCTGAGCTTTAAACTTCACCCAGTTAAGAATGCTTTCCACGATACCACAGTTTGTGGCCTGTGAAGGGAAATCATTCAGTTGTAATAACACATTAAAAAATCTAAATGCTGTAGTGCAATGTAAAGTGCACAGAAAATGCAACCTCTTATGTATAATAAAAGATTAATCACAACATGAGAATCAAGTTAAGAGATTATCACGCACAGCTCTGATGAATTTCTCCGAGAGAGCACATTTGGAACCGAAGCTTTTGGTCTGTAGAGTCATGTTCTCCTTGGTCTGAGAATCAAAGGTTGGGTTCTCGATAAGGGCATTTACAAATACCCATAGATGGTTTTTAACCTGAAATAAACAAAACAAATAATTAAAACATAGTAATTAAACATCTCAGAGCCACCAAAATTTCAGAGAATGAAAAACCAAAGACCCTGAATATATGTGTAATACTGAATATGATAGTATTATTATAAGGGGGTAATGAGTAGCAAAAATTTACCTGGAATGGTTTTACAGATACTCCGGCTTTGTTCTTCTTCTTCACAACTTCAATCAATTTCCCCACTATTTGGTCCACTATATAATCGATATGTCTTCCTCCCTAAAATATCACAAAGCTCATGAGTACCACATCATTTAAAAAAGCTGGAGAGACATGACCAAAAACACCTTTATAAGTACTGAGCATAATGAGTATTGCAGATAATGATGTGTTTTTGCTGTCAGTTTAGTACAGGAGTGTCCAAATCTGCTCCTGGAGGGACACAATCTTGAGTTTACTACAATTACACAAACCTTAGAGACTTTAACTAGCTAATTCCAGTGTTTGTACAATTGCAAAATTGGTTTCAAATGTTTAGAAGCTGGTTGGAGCTAAAATATGCAGTATGTTGGCCTTCCAGGAGCAAAATTAAACACACTTTAAAAGATAAATCTTTAAAATCACCCTCTTTAAACCCAGTTGCAAAATATTGCATTGCTGTTCTCTAGCATTAGGAATGTGTTTTATTTTAGAATCAGCATAAGTAATAATCATAAGCATAATCATCTTCTTTTATAACTGTTGCATACAAACAAAACAGGCTCTAAAATATGTGTATGCCACATCCTGTGCAAAAGATGGGTGATGAAATTTGGGATTCAAACTCTGACATATGCGTACATATTTTAGAGACAGCTGACTGCAGATAATGGATATTAAACATATTTAACTTAAATATTGCTACTTAATAGCTATGTAACAGCATGGCAGAAATGGTGAAGTAAAATAGTAAAATAAAAAGGTGAAATTATTGAAAAAATGTAATAAAAAAATAATTGTCAAGAAGTAAACAAGACAAACAACGTTCAACAATTTTCTAATAAATCAAGCCTAGGATACGAATAAATATAGTTGCAGATAAACAATCTTTTTTGCCCCTATCTTGATACTGGACTAATTCTTTATAATGTCACTCAGTGCTGCAGCATGAATTTTCTTTTTCTTTCTTTTTTATGTCACAGCTGTGGCTACAAATGTAAAGATACTATAATCATAAGGGGAAAAAAAAACATTATTTGAGTAAAAATATTTTATGCAAAATTTTATAAATGAGGCCCCAGTATAGCAGACACAAGAAGGCTTAAGACAGACCAGTCACAGAGACATTTAAGCAGTCATTTTTCAGTAAATCAATGATTTTAACCATTTCTAGTTTCCAGAATAAGTAATTGTGTGCTTCAGAGACCTTAGTGGTGGCAATGCTGTTGACAAAGCTGATTTGCTGGAAGCCCTTTTCACTCATGGTGAGACACACTTCCCAGCGTTCATTAACAGTCTCATTTACCACCTTCAGAGCAACACCTGTCTCATCCAGTTTGTCCTTTACGTAGAAATCCACATAACTGCGGAAACTATTCACCTGTAGCACAAAACAAAAACAGACATGGTCTTGTCATTAAAAAGACAACTGTATAGGAATGTTTTTTAGAATAAAAGAATATTCTGTTGTCAAGAAAGCTCTTTACTACAAAAAGATGACTTACGGGTAGCTTCTTTCCATTGAGAATGACTTTAACACCCCTACAAGAGCCAGCCACATCATATGCCCTGCGTGTAAGAAGAGCCACAATGTCCTTGTCTAGTTTCTCCATGTTGAATTTAGCCAGATCAGGCTGGAAAGTGACACATGTGAAGTCTTCCCCATCAAAGTACTTAATCTTCGCCTCATTTGACTTCCCCATGTTTTCTGTCCATGTCTTTGGAAGAAATTTAAAAGGGAAAGCTTTAAGTAGATGTTCAAGACATCAAGACGGCTTGAACTTTAATCACAACCACAAAATATTTCCTGTATTGCAAATCAGCAAGATGACTGTACCTGTTTGAAACTGCGTTTGTACTCCTTGCAGGCTGTCTCCACTGTAAATTTTAGGCTAAATATATTACATAGTTTAGCGCCATATCCATTTCTGCCACCTAAAAAACACAAACTTGATGAGTTTAAAGAGAAGCTAACCCAAAAAATGAAAATGTACAAAATCATTTACAAGCTATTTGTTTTTTAAGCTTCTGTTTTCTGTTGAACACACACATACAAACAACAATAACTAAACAAGCTACAACCAACTAAAAAATCAGAGAATTCTTTATGAGCCATTAGTTAACTAAACAAATGTTTTAATTTTAACAATGACTCTTTCACAGTTTTTTTCACAGAAAACCAAAAAGGAGGCTGCATTGACAATTAAAAAAGCCCTATTGTGGGTTTTTGAAAATTACCTTCCATGCAGTGTGTAACAGCTTTAAGAAAACATCCAGCTGAGGTTTAAATCTGAAAGTGCACCATGTCTAAAACTATTGATTCTAAAAGGAAAGATTCAACTCAGAGTCTAATAAATGATTTGCCATGTGTTTAAATATTTTGCCTGCTTGTATCGATACGAGACATTGCAAAATATAAAGTGCCAGATGCCGTAAAACATGAGCGTGCCTTTTCCTTTCAAACCTTAGTGGTGTGCGGGGGATGATGGTATTGAACATGATGCGATCACTGAGAGATGCTTTGGGAAATTAGGGGTTAAAGTTCATTTTTACATTAATGCTGCAGTATATTCAACCATGTGCTGTGTTTGCTCCTGTCACTTTTCTGATTATTGATACAGTAGCCTAACCTGCATTGAAAGCAGACATTTACATAAGAACACAATGAAAAAAAATATTTATAGGGATTATTATGATTTTTTTTGCACAATTTGCCAGTCAACCACCTTTTGTTAAATAATTTCGAACTGCAATAAAATACATCCACATTTTTCATACTGCTCTTTTTGTTTGCATAACACTGAATTTTGCTCATTATACATTTATACATTTTTAAAATATTAAAATCCGTGTTGGCGTGGGTTTCCTCCGGGAGCTCCGGTCTACCCTACAAGTCCAAAGACATGTGGTACAGATGAATTGGGTAAGTTAAATTATCCGTATTGTATGATGGGTTGCAGCTGGAAGGGCATTCACTGCGTAAAACATTTGCTGGATAAGTTAGCGGTTCATTCCTCTGTGGTGACCCCAGATTAATAAAGGGACTAAGCCAAAAAGAAAATAGATAAATGAAATATTGAAATTCTAGATTCACAGACAGAGTTTTGATACATTATTTAAAATGTGTGGATAAAAAATACCTTTTAACTTGTCTTTTTTTTTTTTTTTTGATGGGCCATTGAAAATTTTGACTAGTGGCTAGAAAAAGGGCGAGTGGGAAGTAATTTTGAAAAACTACTAGCCACAGTGGCTGGTGATCAAAAAAGTTATTGTCAAGTCTATATACCAAGGTGTTTGCCTCTTTTGTAGTTTCAGGTCAACAAATTTAAATATTAGTCAAAAATAACACATAGATGAAATATGCAATTCCTAAAACAAAAACAAAACTACATAGCCTTGTTAAAAGGTGTTTAGCAATCTCTATCCACACCCAGGCCTAATTAACTCCACATGTTAAATAAATATATAGATATAGTTAATGCTACATGCACTGTAGTATGCTTTATATTTATAGTTAGTTTTGAAATACACATATCAAAATGTTCGTTAAGGGTTAAATTGTCACTGGAGAAAACAGCTGTGATAATGAACGAAATGCAGAGGAAACAGTGTGGGGAAACCCAATTGCTCCTCTATGATGTTGGGGTACGAGTGATACATGTGTTTCTGTAATTTATCGATAAACACACCTTGTACTAACGCTCTGCACAGCTGTGGTTTGCTGATTAAATGAAAAACTAGTTGAAAAAGGAAAAGCGCAAGTCTGCTGCCATTTTCATATCACATTTAAAGGGGACTGAGATGATATATTAGTAGTGCAGAGGTCAAGAGCTAATCACAAAACTTTTAGGGGGTTAAATAGAAATATAGAGGTGGTAAAGTGACGACCATGCTGTTTAATAATTTTATCTGTACATTAGACTCAGCGAGACATCATTCAGTTGGCATGTCATCACTTTGAAAAACTTACACCCCTTATGACAGGACTAGACTTTGGACAGGACATCATCTTCTGAGCAAACGGCAGATTGGCGCTTACCATCTTGTAACATGGAGGACTGGATGAATCTAATTTGTGAGCTGGGAGAGTGAAGGCAGCCATTTTGTGGACTTGAGAGCTGGTGGCATCCATCTTGTGCTTAGCTGAACTGGCAGCGGAACTACCATGTTGTGAATTGGTTGGGATCTAGGCCAGGGGTTTTTAATTTTAAGGACACTCCACCTAACCTCAGTGTGAAAAAGCAACGATTCATATTCTGACCCCAGTTTTTTACATAACAAAGCAAACAGCATTGAACTTGTGGGATGAGTCTTTATGAAAATTACAATCTGTGTTGCTGTTAGAAGCACTCCGTTCAACTCTGCAGGGTGTGTTTTTGTTGCAAGAACCTTTTTGTGAATCATACAGTGGGTGAAACAAACATGCAGAGCTACTTCACAAACCAAGGCAGCAATTCCTTTATTTTTCCCTAACATGAACTCCGCTCCATCAGTGAACACACCGACACAGTTGTTGCCGACAAAGACCAAGTACATTCAGTTGACCGCTGAATTTAAAAAAAAAATCTTTTTCATTGATGAGCAAAATAGCAGACTCTCAAGCAATTTTCTCTCATGACGGTAGTGGACAAATACAAGAAGTAGAGATTAGTTTAAGATGTCTGTCGACTCATCTAATTGTTATGGGAAAAAAATCCCTTTCCTTATTATTTTAATTAGCTGACATTTGTTGTCGCATGTTATTTCATTAATACGTCGGCTTATGGTTGTCTGCATACTTATCTCCAAACATAGTTGTACAGATTACCTTTGCAGTGGGATAAATGAGGCTCTCTACAATTGTATGAGGCTTTATGGCCTTGGCAACTAAATATGCAACCTCATATGAAGCAGAGTGGGCTTTTACTGGCAGAGTGGTTTGAATTGTCATTATTTGTTTTTGACCTCTTAATGCTGATTCTTTACATCGAAAAAAGTCAGCTGGTTTATCTTTAAACATTGGATGTTTCTTTTGTAAGTTACGCACCAGTTTCACAGGTTTTAAAATGTCATTTGCAAGGACCTCAGAATACACGTGCTTTGTTGTTAATCATGATGCATCCATATTTCCATATCCATATTTTATGTACTGTTCATCATACTTCAGCTGCTTTGATGCACACAGGCTTTTGGTTTTTGCAGTAAAAAATGAATAAATCTTTTGCCCCACAAAAATATTTAATGGTTTCCTCCACCACCTAACCAACAGTAAAAGGGGACCCACTCAGCTGTAGTACCAGTTTAATGTATTGATCCATTGTATAGTGGGAATATGTAATGGCATACATGAATAGTGTGATTCAGAAAGTCTTCCACGAGAAAATATCATGACGCACAAATCACTTATTGATGTTAAATATGATGAAGTCCTCCATACTCTTCAATAGATCACTCCCCTTGGCAAAGAAGCATAATCTGTATTTCTGCTGGATCCATGTTTTGTCTTCTGTAACTTGAGGATGCTGGACAACGGAGTTGAGATTCCACGTGTAGTACTTTATTACACTGAGAATGATCAGGCAGGCAATGGTCACAATCAGGAGAAAACGGTAGCATATAGGGAAATCCAGAAGCGTAGTCAGATTACAGGCAAATGGTTGATACAGGCGACAAGCAGGATAAACCGAAAAAGTCAAGGGTCAAAACACGGAGAGACTAAACACGGAATGCACTTTGTAATGTTACATGGTATGTACTAACAAGACTCAGCAGTGAATGTGTGTGCGGTTCATATGGTCCATGTAATCAGTCTTGAGTAGCTCCCAGTTGTGTGTGAGTAATCAATGGAGAACCGGGACACGGGTGTGTGTGGTGCCTGAAAGGAGTTGTAGTAGTTCATATATTGTCAGAATTGTAGTCCGAGAAAAAGTAAATGTTCTCTAGTGATTTATGAGGGTTGGATCTCCAGTTAGCATGACATATAGTCATTAAAAATTATATTAAATATGCAATTGTTGCTTTTTTTACAATCTTACTACTTTTATTTAAAAACAATCCTGTGTAAGGTGACTTTTGTGAAATATATGAAGATATTGTAGGATCATTGCATAAGGCTAGTAGATCTTATATTACTTGCTTTAACAAGAAAGCATATAGTAAGCCTTGTTGCAAAAGTATGGCCTCGGAATAAAAAAGCTAAGGATAATAATAATGGCATATTATAGCTGTTAGGCCTGGACAAGGGCTGCTTTTTGACCTGAAAGTTAACCAACGCCAAGCATAATATTAATGCAGATTATGGCAAGAGTTATGTCAATGTGCAATATTATACTGAAAAGAGTGTTGTCATGTTATTTAGAACCAAAGAACATAGAAATATTGTTTTTCCAGCTTCCAGTGCACATTTTAAACATTACTAAAATTGTTTAATATTTTAGACATATCATTACTGATGATATGATTGATGATAATGATATGAACAAAAAACGTCTAAAGTTATATGCTGGTGAAAATGTTTTAGGTGTGTTTGAAGCATGTAAACCTGTTTATACCATAATGCAATTCTTTATATAAAGTCCCTTTGTGGTATGATTTAAAATTAGGCCATCCATAAGCTGCAGGTTGCGTACAATGATTGTATGAAGATTCTGCTAAAAACCTTGATGGTACAGTGCAAGTTATTTTCTCTGTAAGTTAAGAGTTTGATCATTTCCTGCTTTGATGAGATATTTTATTTATATTTAGTTTCGACAGGAGAATTCTCAGAATAGCATGTTAATGTTGCTGTAAAATCTGTAAAACTGTTAAATATATACAGTTGAAGTCAGATTTATTAGCCCTTTGAAATATTAGCCCCCCTGTTTATGTTCTGTTTAACAGAAATATTTTTTCTGAACATAACACATTTCTAAACATAATAGTTTTAATAACTAAATTCTAATAACTAATTTATTTTACCTTTGTCATGATCACAGTAAATAATATTTTACTAGATATTTTTCAAGACACTTCTATACAGCTTAAAGTGACATTTAAAGGCTTAACTAGGTTAATTCGGTTAACATAGGCAGGTTAGGGTAATTAGGCAAGTTATTGTATAACGATGGTTTGTTCTGTAGACTGATGAGTGTCGATTTCTGCTGTGACATTTGAATCAGCATTTAGCATCAGCAACATGAAAGCAAGGATCCATTCTGCCTTGTATCAATGGTTCTGGCTGGTCGTGGTGGCGTTATGGTGTGGGGGATTTTTTATTGGTGCACTTTGGGCCTATTGGTACCAATTGTATTGTTGCTGACCATGTCCATCCCTTTATGTGTGCCCATCTTTTGATGGCTATTTCCAGCAGGACATAATGCACCATGTCATAAAGTACGAATCATCTCATACTGGTTTCATTAACATGACTATGAGTTCACTGTACTCAAATGGCCTCCACAGTCACCAGATCTCAATTCAGTAGAGCACCTTTAGGATGTGGTTGAATGGGAGATTCGCATCATGGATGTGCAGTCGACAAATCTGCAGCAACTGCTTGATGCTTTCAGGTCAATATAGACCAAAATCTCTACATAATCTCTCAAAATCTCTATATCTCTCTAGGAATATTTCCAGTACCTTGTTGAATTTATGTCACAAAAAAGGGGTTTAACCTGTTACTAGTAAGATGTACCTATAAACCTATACACATATTAGGGGAGTAACGATACACCAAAGGCACGGTTCAGTTCGGTTCAGTTCACGGTTTTGGAGCCGTTTTTTTTTAGCAGTTCGGTTTGGTACGGTTCGGTTTCTGTTTGCGGTGGGATTAGGGTTGATGTCATGTTGACAGCAATGCTAAGGAACAGATTCCCTTAATAGCAAGAACATCTTAACTTTTTCTTTATTAACTTTGTCATCACATTTTAGTACAGTCAGGATACCTGAGTAAACAACTAAAATTAAATAAATACCTCCAATATAGACTAGTCAGAAAATACTATTCTCTTTATTGCAGCCATCTTAACTAAGTAAACTAAAATTAAATAAATAACTGCAGCGTAGACCAGTGAAAGATCTTCTTCAAAAACACCATTATATTCACATTCTCAGGTGAGAGGATTGATCTCTGTGCAGACACAGACATGATGCTCATTTTTGATTATCTAAGGTTTCATTTAGATAGATAAGATTCCGTTTAAATTAATGACAAATATACATATAATGTGTTTGTAAAGTGTTTTTACACTACATATTCACCAGTAAAATACATCGCAGTTGTGTCTGAAACTAATGTTAGGGTTGTAGCCAGCGGTATTTTTGCCTCCCGATCTCTCTCTATCTCCCGCTCCTTCCATGCCGGCCATTTATGTAGGTCTGCCTTCATGACAGCTGATGCCTGTCATTTCTGTAGGTCCGCCTTCATGACAGCTGATTGGTCAGGTGACCGATCTACCATCATTTGGCGACGTAGCGCAGGAACATAATTTGGCAACGTAGTGCGGGAATATAAAAAGCATGTCAGGAAGAGCGGGAGAGAGCGCTTTTTCCTTTGATCTCGTTTTTCGTGTATTTTTCTGACATGATTATGATTTTCGTTGTTTTTGTTTAACTTTCGTTTGGGCAAAATTATTTTGCATTACTTTTGCCCACTTTAAGAAATTTTGTGAGGTTTGTACATTTTTATTTAAATTTATTTGTATGTTATTTTTTGGCTCCGCTCCTTCCCGACAATATTAAGCTGTATCTCCTCAAGTTCACTCTTTTCTCAGAGTAAGGTGGATAGGGAAGATGTCATACGATTTCCATTTTGCAAACACGTAGAAAATGTACTGTTAAAGACATCAGATAAGAGGTAAAGGTCATCTTTGTATTTATTTTATTCTACAGTTAAGTATAGGGAAGAATATGGCGCTGAAGACCTTTTTTTCTTTTCATTAGTTTTTAGGGGGTAAGGGGTTATTCATGAGTTTGAATTGTTTTGTTATATTTCTTTCTTTTGTTTCGCTTCACTTGCATCCCCTTGCTCGAGTTTAACTCATTTTTGTTTTATACTTTATTTGAATTTGTAACTTTATTATTTTATTTTTATTAGTGTAAATATTTATCTTTTTTGTATATATTTGGGCAATATTCTGGTGGCGAGGCAGTGGTGCAGTAGGTAGTGCTGTCGCCTCACAGCAAGAAGGTTGCTGGGTCGCTGGTTCGAACCTTGGCTTAGTTGGCGTTTCTGTGCGGAGTTTGCATGTTCTCCCTGCCTTCGCGTGGGTTTCCTCCGGGTGCTCCGATTTCCCCCACAGTCCAAAGACATGCGGTTCTGGTGAATTGGGTAGGCTAAATTGTCCGCAGTGTATGAGTGTATGTGTGTGTGTATGTGTGTGTGGATGTTTCCTAGAGGTGGGCTGGAAGGGCATCCGCTGCGTAAAAACTTGCTGGATAAGTTGGCGGTTCATTCCGCTGTGGCGACCCTGGGTTAATAAAGGGACTAAGCCAACAAGTAAATAAATGAATTATTCTGGTTTACTTTTGTACATTAAATCACTTTTGTTGTCAGTCTTTTGCTTACACCCTCACGTTGTGAAATTACTACACTTTTTAAATGTTTTTCCTTATGAGTATAAAACAGATAGGCGTGCGCTTTGTCTACAACATGAATTCCATTCCTGTACTCCACTGGAAAACCAAAATGTTCCCACACAGATGACTTAAATATGTCTGGGGGATCTGCAATCTCAGTACTATGTGAAGCAGCCATCCTGCGTACAGTAGTAACGAGTGTGATGCTCACTCAAGTCACATGACATGACATGCACTTGGAAAATACTAACTTTAGAGTATATTTAGAACAAAACCTCATCATTACTAAAACAATTTAATCAAATTTGATAAAATAAAGATGTTTAAATTGGTTTAGTTAGTTAGAGACAAGTGACGTCAACCTCAACAATGGGCAGCAGGGGGCGTGAAAGTACCGTGGTACGCCATGAGAGTTTCGCGATGCGTATCGTGGTTAGTGTATCGCGATATTTCGGTTCGGTTTTAATATCGTTACACCCCTTACACATATGTACCTATGTACACATACATACACTCAGTCTAACCATACCTGTCAACATTGGGATGTGAAAATAAGGGTTATGCCCTCCATAATAAGGGATTTCCCCAGCCCCCTTTAAAAAATCCCCAAATTACAAAATATGTTCATTTGGAGCTTTTTCATTGTAAATAAACATTTAAATAGTCAGTAAAATGTTTTAATATTATTTACAAAAGAAAAAATAAATAGTATACATTAGCAGCAAATTAATTAGCAAACAGTTCAGCTTATTAAAATTAATAGCTATTTTAATGAAATACAATCAAATCTCATAAGCCATTTCATCACTGTATAACGTATACATTCTGATTAAAGAGCAATGAATGAATGATTTATTTAGATTTTTTTTTTGTTTGATTACATTAAATAACAGGTCACTCTAAAAATGCATACATCTAACATTATAATGAAAGCATTCGACTGCTTTCCTAACTTTTTATGCTCATCTAGGACGAAATTACTTTTGTTTGAAAAAAAAAAAAAACACCAAGATCAACATCTTTAAATATTATTATTATTATTAATTATGTGTATATCTGTTTAAACATGCAACCAAAACCCAGACTTTTGCTCTGCTTCAAATCACGAGTACAGAATCCGTTTGGGAAACAGCGTTTATTTATCACTTTGGAGCGCTTCAGCTAACAGTCATGCAGCGGTATGACTTGTTTTGAGGATTTTGAGGACTTGTTTTCAGCGGTTTTGAGGATTGCATATGAAGGGGCGACGGCACCTGTAATGAAAAGGAATAAAATCGCGCAGTTTTTATGTTTATTTTAAAGTGTTTTCGTGCCTAACAAAGGGAGAGCACAGAACAGACTAGCATTTAAGAGCAAGGGGCGGCCACTTGTGGTTCAGCGGTATGGGTTGCGTAAAGGGAGGCTTGGCTGCAGAGAAAGACTTGTATACGTGAGAAATAAGGGAAAATACCTTTACAGGATCATAGCGGGACAGAACTGTAAAATATGGGAGAATCCCAGGAAAAAGGGGAGGGTTGACCAGTATGAGTCTAACGCATGTTCTAAACTGTCATTTGAACAAGAAAATGCACAGACAGATTAATGCAAGTCGTAACTATTTTTAATCCAGTAAATATCACACTATCACGTAAAATGTACGACTTTTAAGGTCCCGCATGATAATGCAAGGTTCCTGCCACTATCCAGAAACTTCACACAGCTATTTAAGAAGAATAAACCAACATTTTACAGGCCACAATCAACAGGCTAATTGACTCTTAGTGAAGGAGATGTGTTGCATTGCATGAGACAAATGGTGATCCATTAAAGTGGATAAATTACACAGTAAAGAAAAAGTGCTTACTAACACAGATTAAGACAAATCTGTGAACAGCATCTGAGAGAATACTGAATTTACTGAGTTACTGAAGTTCAACTTATGAAAAATGAAAGCAAATTCAAAAGTGTTGCGTTCATATATTTTGAGTGTAAATAATAACCACATTAAAATAACAATGTTAATATGTTGCAGACAATAAGCTGAATACTACAATCAAAAACAAACTGTAGAACTAAAGATTTACCTGTGACTTTTTTCTCATTATCATCGTAGTTGCTCGAGGTGAGCAGGTGTCCAAAGATCAGTGCAGGAACATACATCTTCTCATCTTTGTGTTCAACCACGGGAATTCCTTTTCCATTATTCCACACAGAGATAGTGTTGGACTCTCTATTAGAACCAGAAGGGTAGGTTAGGCCATTACAACACAAAGAGACAGAAGAGACACCAAAAGATAGATGTGCTGAGTCCCAGTTTTCCTACATTTACTTCTATTTTAAGTGTTATATCAAAACATGGACTGTAGTATTTCTTTCTGTCTTCGATTAACCTACCCAGTACCGTTTGGCATTTTCAAACCCAAATATCCATCCATAAAAATTGTAAAGCACATGAACAGTGAAATGTGAAGTTTATTTCTAACACCCATAAACAGTCTTTAAACAGAGCAAATGTGAATATTAAAACAGCACTTACGGGTCAATAGTGATTTTGATGGTTGTCATGTTCTTGTCTCTCTGTTTGTTATCAGCTGCATTGACTGATGGGTAAGAAAATCATGTTAGAGCATGAAATATCACAGGTATTTCCAGATCAAGGAGACCTTGCAATCGAAGGTCTTGCATTAACTGCATAACATCCTAATGTTTTTAAATGACAGCATTTTGTTAAATGAATGATAAAACCGAATATTTTTACTTAAGTCAGATTTACAACGCTTTTACACTAAGCACCTTATTTTTATATTAAACAATGCTTCTACAAATTATAAGAATCAGTACTAAGTCAATTCAAGTAAATTAGAGACTAATGGAACTTAATGCTACTGCGACATTTGCTGCTGAAATTTCAAGAGTCAAGCTATCAAAACCTTTTAACTAGGGGTCTTAACTAAGGGTGGGTATCTTAAAGGACTTCACATTCTTATCCAATTGTGAATGAGTTCTTTTCCTAGGTTATTCCTATTTCCTTCTTCTATGCAAATAGATCTTTGAATTGTAATACAAAATCAAACTTTTAAGAATCAATTCAGAATCGATAGAGAAAGAATCAATAAATTGTTTTTTTTTCTCCACCCCTTAACACTGTCCTGCAAATCATAAGACAAGGTTGGATCAGACTGAGGTCTATGTATCACCAAAAACATCATGATATGATACGTATCCTAATGTCATGATATGTGCTGCGGAGGGGGGACATGAAGACAGGCTGGATCTGAACGCAGTATTTATTAAGAGAATAGTCAGACAGGCAGGGATCAAAAACCAGCATACGGAGCTCAAGTGTAATCTGTGTAGCAGGCAAATGGCCAGAACAGGCAGTAAGAACCCAAAAACTATAAACAATGCAAGACTCAGGCAGGTAAAAACAATGGAAATGTTTTGAAATGCAGCATCAAGATGCTAGCCATCAAGCCATCAAGATACTGTGACCACTTTTCCTCCTTTCTCTAGTAATTCCAGTGGGTGAATACCCATCACAATAGCTCATAAAAACATAACTTTTACCATACTTGACTCATTACTCACTCCCATCTGACTCTTGTTCCATGTCCCACTCTTGTCCCAATGTTCCCCTAGCAGTGCAAGCACTAGATGGTCGCCCCATGGGTGAAGACAGGATTTGTTACAGCATCACGAAAGTTCAGTTGCAAGTTGGAGCATTACATCACGAAAGCATTAATTTTTATGTAATTTAATCTTACCCTGCAGTCTTAGGACTTCCTTGGTTACGCCATTATGACCCTCACATGTCCTGGCAGAGTGATCAGAAAATATTTTGGAGAGTATCCTGTCATAATCAACGTCTACAGCAGTGGTCACCAAACTTGTTCCTGGAGGGCCGGTGTCCTGCAGATTTTACCTCCAACACTAATCAAACACACCTGAACCAGCTAATCAAGCTCTTACTTGGTATACTTAAAACATCCAGGCAGGCGCGTTAAGGCAAGTTGGAACTAAACCCTGCAGGGACACCGGCCCTCCAGGACCAGGATTGGTGACCCCTGGTCTACAGCCTCTTTAGAAACATATCATCAACTGTTAAATCATCTTTATCTACTAAGAATCAGATTGCCCTTGTCTATTCAGATCTAAGCCAAACCTTTAACAAACAGAAAGCCACTCAGTTACCACCACACTGTTCAAGTGATTGTGCCATTGATTTAGTTCCTGATGCAGCACCACACAAGGGTCCAAAGACTAAAAACATCCAAAGACATTCGGTTTATGTGAATCGGGAAGGCTAAATTGTCCTGACTGTATAGCTGCGTGCCAAAATTGCATACTTATGCACTATTCTACGCCATTTTGTAGTATAAATAGTGTAAGTAGTGTGTTCACACTGAAAAGTCTAAAAATAATAAGTGCACTTTAATTACCCGGATGATGCACTCATTCAGCCGGTAAAATGAAGTGTGTAATGATGGACACTTCAAGCACTCAACGACTCACGTAGCGGAAGCGGTGGAGCTATCGGGCGCACATGTTGGATATCTTTATTTGTTTTGGAAGGTGAAATCAAAATTCTCCTATGAGAGTGATTATAGCACCTTCCGATGGTAAATGCGGTTATACTCATGGCAGGTATTATTTGATAATTCGGTTGTTTATTTCACTGATTTGGCAACCGTCAAACGTCATCAAGGAAACGGTTTGAATTTCCGTTTAGTAAAAAAAACATTTTTGTGCCATTTGGGAAGACACTACATACACATACTATATTGTTGAATGTGTAAGTGCATAAGTACATACATAGTGCATGAGTGCATAGTGTGTCATTTGGGCCGCAGCTTATGACTGTGTGTGAATGAGTGTGTGTGTGGATGTTTCCCAAGATGGATTGCGGCTGGAAGGGCATCCGCTGCATTGAAACGTGCTGGATGAGTTGGTGGTTTGTTCCTCTGTGGCGACCCCGGATTGATAGGGGGACCAAGCCAAAGAGAACATGAATGAATAAATGCCATTAAGACTTGCCAAAAGTCTTTTTGAGTTGCAATCATTCATAAATAACATCTTCCACAATGTGCTGGATCATTATCATGTTCATTATTTTCATTGACGACATCCTTATATACTCCAATTCAATGGAGGACACGTTCTTCATCAAGGCAAAAAAATGCAAGTTCCATCTGATGTGTATACAGTGGAGGGAACCGAAGAGTGGACCCCCCGCCTATCTATGTCGAAGCTAATCTCTTAAGAGATTGTGGATTCCAGGCGTCAGGGTGGCACTTTCCAGTATCTGATGGACTGGGAGTGTTATGAAACAGAGGAACGGTCTTGGGTTAATGCTAAATATATTCTAGATTTCCCAGTTTACTGAGAATTTCCAACACACGTCTGGAAAGACTGACCCCCTGACTACGCAGTAGACATTGACGCCAATTTCATTTTTTGCTTCAGGAGCCTCTCGCAGGGAATAGAATTCTGTTGTAAATGAAAGCCCTGATCTTTAATCCTTGCACCACCAGAGGGAGCCATCATTTTAGACTTAATCGCCAATAATCCCTCATGCATCTTTTACAGATGTATTTATAACCCTACATTTCCTTAATTTTTCTGCAAAGTTTTGATTTGCATTGCTGTCATTTCTGAACATTTTTATTTTTGCTGCATTGCCTTTATTTTTGACCCTTGCATTGTTTCTCTACTTTTTTTTGCTGCCTGCCCTGACCTTTGCCTGTTGTTTTTGATTTTTTAATTGCCCTTTGATACTGATGCTGTGCTTTTTTGTAACTGTCTAATAAAGACTGCTAATAGACCTCTCAACTTCACAACAGTAACATAGCCTTCTGAGCATTACATTTTAGATGTTAAAATGTAGTTATTTTCTCTAGAGATTGTAAAAACTGTTAAAGAATATATATGCTCCAACCAATAACTAATAACAAAGAAAATGCAAAAGCAGACCTTTGTCCATTTTAGTTGTGATTGTAGAGATTGTAAAAGTAACAGTCTAGTTCATTCATCAAAAAAATATATATATTGGAAGCCATATAAAAAAAACTGGAACTGATTTTTCAATTGGGCCAGAAGTAGTTAGTATAAAAAAAAAACAGTAACTGTCAGAAATTAAACCAGCAATGATACAGGGTATACACAGAAATCAGAGATTGAAATCCAGTACCTTTAAGCCTCTTTTCATATATTTTAAGACCTCATTGCCCCTTTGGGTTTTAAACATTAACACATCTTAACTTATAGTTTATTTACTAAATACTGATTGTAAGAAACTACTCTTAAACTAAAACATTACTCATATGCTGAATAAAATGCTAATCCAGCAGTTGGTGTCTACAATAGAAGAAATAACAGTATTTCCCTGTTTACTGCACAAAACAAATGTCAAATCTAATGTCAAATCAAGCAGGATTTTATTGATTTCACAAACTACACAGCATCTTAATAGTAAAAAAATTTATTTAATTAAAAATTAAATTCAAATTTGAACTTTAATACGTCGCAAAAAAATAGCAATTAAAGACTTTTAATACCTTTTAAGGGACCTAAAAGCATAAAAGTGAATTTGTATCATACATGTAGAATGAAAACAGACTAGAAGGAATAACATTGGACTGATTTAATAACTGACTTTCAGGAAATAAGGAGCGCATTAACAATATAGTTCAATAAAACAATAGTTCTATATTTTGGTAACAAATGTTTGACTAGCCTGTAACTGAAATGATTAGTACAACAGACTTAGGTGAATTTTAATTTGAATAAACACCTTTAATGGTTCTAATGACAAACTCAAACTGTGACCAAAAGTGGTAAAGAAATATGTTCCACACAGAATACACAGACCAGCTACTCCAGAACAAGACAGGTTGTGAATAATATTAATGCAGTTAAAACTACTTTGCATTAACACGTGATAAACTCATGATTAATTAATTTTGACAGCCATAATATATAAACCCTTGACTTGAATTGACTTGATTTGTCTAAACTTGAACTTAAGACTTGTTTGCACTTGACAATGTATGACCTGTTTCCACCAATGTTGAAGACTATGCTGGACAGGGAAGTAAAATAAATGATTTCAAAAGCTAAAGAGGTAAAGCAGAGCTGCCAGGTAAAGCATCCACACACACACACACACACACACACACACACACACATATATATATATATATATATATATAAAATACAGTAATCTTACCAAGGATCTCAACAAATATAAAATGCAGTAATCTTACCAAGGATCTCATCAAAGATTTTATATAATCCAGGGACGAACGAAATCTCTCTCAAGTTCATTCCAATTTCTTCATCAAAAACCCACATTTGCTGTAAAACACACAATTATTTGAGTAATATATAAATAAATGTAATGCATTTGAGGGAAATGACACAATCATGCTTAGAATGGGTCTGGATTCAGTTTAAAGATGCAGTAAGTTTGGCACCCAGTGGTTAAACTAGGTATTGCATTCTTGGATCAAAACATTGAATGCTGAATTATAATTGGGTGAGCTGGGGTCCGTTCTTCGTACGTGGATTACTCAGTTAGCTGGATTTGGATATTGACGATTTGACACGATCCAGGATCGGTTCGTTCTTCAAAGCTGATCTGAGAGTTGTTGTCATAGCAACAATTCTGCTAGCTCAAACCTGATCTGAAGCAGGTTCAATTCATAGAAACAGGATTAGATCGGGTAAGTTCAAGCAAAGATAATAAAGAAAGTACCGAATTATGATATTTTCTTACAGTAGTAGTTATATACACTTGGGAAAATAGTAAAAAAAATTTTTTACTTTATATATAAAGTTATAGTTATTAATAAAATAAATAAAGTTATATTAACAAAACTTATGCAATCTGCACCCTCGAAATGAAAGTACAAAGAGAAGGTTTATTGATATAAACTTTTTAGATCGCTTCAGTACAATTTGTGTATGATAATAGAAATGCAGAATATGTGACTTTTTTAAAAAAAGAAATAATCCATAATGCAGTCATGAACATGTTTTGACAGTTAATATGCCAGTGATTATGCTTCACAAAAGTTGCAGACACCTTTAACAATATCAAAATGCTTTTGTAAACATCCAGTTATTCCATACAGCGATTAAAAAAACGGCTACTGTAATAAAGAAAATATTTTCTAAATGTAGAACTAAATACATTGATATGCACTGAAATACATGATAAATACTCTTGACACATGAAAGTGTAAAAAAGCCTGCAGTTCACAACATATGTGGAAAGTTATTGCGTGTCATATTTAACAAACCGTTTACTGCTAATTTTATGTAATTTTGCTCACATGGATAATTGAATATTAATCAGATGATGTCATTACGCTGCTGTGCCGTCAGCCAATCGTTGCATTGCTGATCATGATTTCGAGGATCGATAGATCTGTCCTTCACAACACACGCAGCGATCTCACATCAGTTCATCCAGACAATCTAATCTGATTCGCAAACTTGTTTGAAGAACCAAATTAGCCAGAGATCAGTTATCAAGATTAAAAGATCCAGGATCGGCAAAATCATCTTAGATCATTTAAGCGAGGTAAAAAGAATGGACCCCTGGCATTGGGCAGATAAAAAAAAAAACATAAACAAAACAGCGTTCCAGCATGGAAAACACGTTTTCACAGAATATCTGACTTCAGCAATGTTTTTTGGATAAACAAGAATGTTCACTTGACATTTTTCTTCAATATCTGCAAAAATTTTTTTTTTTTGTCTTTTTATGCTTTAGAAAAGTCCAAAACTTACATACAGCACCTTTTATTTTATTCTATTATTTATATACCTTAGCTATTCTGCTTAAAAAGCAAAACCTGTTAAACTAATATTTGTCTTTGCATGTTTTCAAGTTTGCAATTTTCTAAATCAGATTTTAAAAAACTTATTAAATGATCTAAAATCGCTGTTTGTGCTCCTGCTTGTGAAGGACAGACCTACCTATCCTCAAATTCATGATCAGAATGACATGATTGACCTGATCATCTGATTAATATTCAATCATCTATGTGATCAAAATTACATACAATTCATAGTAAAAGGTTTGGTAAATATAATACACAATGACTTTCTACATTTGTTGTAGGCTGCAAGCTTTACACTTTTATGTGTCAAGAGTATTTAGCAATTTATTTATTTATTATTTTTACTTTTAGAGTGGATTTTCTTTAGGATCGTATTCAAGTTTTTTAACCTTGTGGTGTCATAATTGCTGCTTAATTAATTAAAAAAAAAACGTTTTGATATTGGAAAGATATCTGTAATTCTTTTTTGAAAGTTTTGTTATTTTCCCAACGTTAAAGTTATATATCCTATAGGTTATTATTGTAAGAAAATATCAGCAGTAGGTAGCTACATACTTTTAGTATCACCTTTACTTGAAATGACACAATCTAATCCTGTTTATATGAAATAAGCCTGCTCTTGAGCAGGTTAGAGCTTCCAGACCAGTTGCTCTTGAATGAATTTTGAAGAACGAAACTATGAGTCAAATGATCAATAACCAAATCCAGCTAATTGAGCAATCCATGTATGAAGAATGGACCCCTGATCTTTAATCATCATCCTAATAAATTTTCTCTCACCTGAGTGACAGGTTCCACAGAGCCAATATATGTATCTGGGCGGAGAAGGATGTGTTCTAGTTGGGTCTTCTTCTGGTAGATCCTCTCCACTGACATCTTCTTAGAACTCTCCTTCTTCACCACCTCACTTTTTCCTGCATCTCCCCGGCCATTCATTTCCTCTTTCTTCGCACCATTGTTCTTGTCAAAGAGGGTCTGTTGTTAGATACATCCATGCAATTTTGTTAAACTTGCTAATGACTATCAAATCAAATATAAAGCGGGGCAGATCAATAACTTTAAACTTTTTAATTTAAAAAATAATAACTTTCAATTTAACACCACAGAAAACAACAATAAATATAAATTGGGCTTCCGTAATTCATCTGTAAAATCAACCAATATGACAATGATGATTAATAGACATCAATGTTTATTCAATTTAATAATATATTAATTTTACTTTTTAAATTGTATTTAAGTTTCATGGTTTGCCAAAAAAGGTCACTAGTTCCGAGTCCCGGCTAAGCCAGGAAGTATTTCTATGTGGAGTTTGCATGTTCATGCCTCATGTTGCACTGGGTGCTTCAGTTTCCCCCATAGTCTAAAAACATGCGATATAGATGAACTGGGTAGACTAAATTAGCAGAGGTATATGAATGTGTGTGAATGATAAAGTGTATAAGTGTTGCTCAGTGCTGAGTTGTGGCTGGAAGGGCATCCACTGCATAAAACATATGCCAGAGTAATTGGTGGTTCATTCCTCTGTGGTGAACCCTGTTTAATTAGGGAGTTAGGTGAAGGAGAGTAAGTAGGGGTGTAATGATTCACCGTGAGCCAGTTGAAAATCAATACAAATTAGGGTTGTGACGGTGACGAAATTTCCCCACCGGTTAATCGACATGTGACAACACCGGTTATACCGGTATCACCGTGGGAGTGGGCGTTTCTTCTTTTCCTCTTTTTTCTGCTTTTAAATAGCTTATAAATGCTTGCGAATAATACTTGAACTTTCAGTTTTGCGGGAATTGCCAATTCGGCGTCAATTGTTTGAATGAACAAAAAGGAAACTACAAAAAAAATAAATAAAAATCACTGTTATTAAACAACACATAACTTTTATTAACATAACGAATAAAACACAACAATGCTACAGGCTGAAAAAACTGTGGAAGTTGGAACCATACAAATAACAACCATAAACGCCTATATTATATATTAACAGCTTAGTCCTTATGATATGAACAATCCGTTTATAAAATAGGCTACATCATTAACGAATCTAGGCTATTAAAGAAAAAACCGAATGTGAAATATGATCCTTGCATAATGATCACAACTAAACAAGTTGGCACTCATTTTATATATAAACTATAAATAAAAAATAATGATGAAAATGTTAAGAAATGTAACATTATTTTAAAAAATGTTAAGACTACAGGCTGAATAAAAGCGCCTTGTCAGAGCTAAACATCACCGCACACGTGTCAGTTTACAGCTTCTGTAAAGTTCAGACATCATATACAGATCACACAATCTCAATAAACAACATGTAAATGTATAAACATTTCGAAGGTATTGTTATGGAATATTTATAACTATATGATCTTGCTTTTTGGTTATGATACCAGCTTTGATCTCTCTTAAAAGCGGCAGTTACAGGCGCTGCATAAGCGTGTATTACACTGTCAGTGGCGGAATACACACAGCACTGGCAGGAGGTTTTATTTTTAGTTTTATTTGTTGCAGATTTGCTCTTTGTTTCTTTTTAAAAAATACCTTTTATTTTTAAAATCTCTCAAGTTAATGTTGTCTATCGAGTAACATAAACTCCCTCGGATTGGAGTTCGGTGCGCAGTAAAATGGACCAACACCAGTGTTAACACACTGCATACTGTAGGTCCACAGCTCTGGCGTTTTATGAATTACATGTTTTAAATGACAGCGAGACATGCTACGTTTAGTTTTATTGTAAAATATAGATTATAACCCAGTACACAGTAAAATAATGTTTTTTATTGAGGGCGTATAACCGTTAAACTTAAGGCAGCATATTTTTATTAATATTAAAACACATTACAACAAACTAGCTACCCTTTGATTTTTTTTCGTTTATGTATATTTTTATCAAACGAAAAATGCAATGAATAGTTTATTTTGGTTTTCATTTTTTTAGAAATAATATAATTTCAAGACTACACAACTCCTCCACGGCTCCAATTGCGTTTTGAGATATCCTAGATAGACTTTCTGGCTCAAAGACATTTATGCATGTTTATTTCATTGCTGTATTCTGACAGATTTCGCAAAGGCTTCAGCTATTCTACCTGTCAGCTGGTACCAGCCTCAGTTTTGCGACTTGACTAGTTAGGCGTCTGTGTCTGGATGACAGAGAGAGAGAGAGATGAGATCAGACCTCAGATTTGATGTGTGGCCGCACATCTCAGTTACTTTATTGCAATTTTTAATATTGACTCATCTAAATTAACTTTTCATTTATTAAAAGCCGAAATATTGCCAGACAGACGAAGCAACTTTCGGTTTTTGAAGAGAGCGTCCTCAGTGATAAAAGACGCGCACACACACTGGTTAGCCCACACTCTTGTCGGCCTATTCTTTATTGATTTTTTTAACATTAAACGCATAATAATCAATTGCAAAAAAAGAACAGCTGAACTTCGGAAAAAGTGCTCACGACTGTTGCTTTGTTTCTCTGCAGTTGGCTTATTAATGGCGCGGCGTTGCTAAATCACTCTTGTTTTAATAAATAAAAAAAGATAATTTATTAATAAACTGTTAGATGATGGTCGCGTGATTTTAAAAATCAGAGTATGCGTTGCATATTTATGGCTATTGATCTTATCTACCCGCGACCCACACATAATTGAACATAGTGTTGAAAATGAGTGTATAAATTAGTTGTGTTTCCTCCAACTGCTGCCACCTTTGTCAGGCAAAGTTTGCAGATTGCCTCATTAACGTCTTCAGGTTCTCTTTTTGCAAAATATAGCCGAACAGGCACATTTTGCATTGCGTTTTGACACTTATCCATCCGCCATTCTCTTTCTGTAAATTCGACTCCTCTCATTCTCCTGATGTGATAAATGAAATATGACGCATTGTAGCTATGTTCAGATGATAATTATAGTGCATGCTCTCATCTTAAGTAAATTATTTAGAATTATGTTTCCCATTTAATTCAAATAAATATTTTAATTAAAAAAAAAAAAAACGAATACTTAAAAAAAAAAACAAATGTGGGGACGGTGTCACGGTGAAAAAGTGATTTGTCACTGGTGTTGCGTCTTAAAACCGGTATCACCGTTAACACCGTCTATCGTGGCAAGCCTAATTCAAATACGTTATGATTCAATCTGGTAATTTCCTGCCTTGGCAATGTTTTACTAAACTTTAGCCCCTTTCAACCATACAGACCTTTCCGGAAAATTGCCAGTAGTTTTCCGGAAAGGTCTGTATGTGTGAACAGGTCCTTTTTGAAAATACCGGTAAATTCGTTCTGGCTATTTTCCGGAAAGAGAAGTTGTAACATTACCGGTAATTTGCCGGAATGCTGCGCTGTGTGAATGCAGAAGGAAGATTGCCTGAAAGAGCGCGTGCACGTCTAGAACGTGCTGACGTGATACGTCTGCTTTAGCCAATCAGAACAGTCAGATGCGTTTACGTCCGCTAAGTTTATGAGAATAAAAGCCTTTGAACATTTTCCCAGACGCATTTAGCTGCTAGAAGTTAGTCAGATAACGTTTATGTTCTTCTTAATGCCAACTGTGTAAATAATAATCGATAAGATGCTTATGATAAGCCGCTGTTTGTTTACCTTCAAGCTTTGCGTGTGCCTGTGAAACAGCCTGTGAGCGCCAGCACACACACACATATCATGAACATCTCGACATGCGAAAGTGATCCTCCATATGTTTTCATCGAAGTTGTTCACAGTACTGATCATCCACATAGTTTGTAATGTAGTCAAATGTTTACAAATACAAGCGCAGTCGTCTAAGGCTCATTTGTGGTGAATGATGTGAGAATTTACCGGTATTTTGGAATGGATGTGTGAACGGTCTTTTCCGGAAAAATTCCGTAACGTCCTCGCCTGTGTGAACAGCACTTTTTTGAATATACCGGTAAAGTCGTTCCAGAAATTTTCCAGATATTTACCGGTATCACTGTGTGAAAGGGGCTTTTACCTAGGTTGAAAAGTTAACCTTACACATAATATGTAATTTTTTATTGGCTAATTATTATTAATATGAATGTAGTAGAAGAACTGCTGCTGCTTAAAGTGAGTAAATGTTACTCACTTTTAAAAGTAGTTACTAATAATAAATATTAGTTATATCTTACATAATTTCTATTGGTATGTTGTAACTTAAATTGAGGTACTATTTTTACTCAAATATTTGTGATAGAATCTACTCTAATGCAAATTGTTACCTTGATTTTATTGGGTTGATTCTATAAGTTGTTTTTTACAGTGCACAGTGTTTTTCCGCAAGTTTTTAGAGAAAACAAATTCCAGAGATGTGAGTACGCAACAAGTAAGTATTCAAATGTAATGGTAGTGTACTTTTATAATGTCATTCACATCACCCTGGCTTGGTTTAATTATAAAATAAAACCTTAATATAATGCACTCACTCTATTTATTTTTATAGTATTTTTATAGTCTTTTTGATAATCAGTAATGGCAATTATAAACCAGACCCTCTAGTTTTTAGGGATTCTGCGATTGCTGAATCCAACGCAAAATAAAAGTAAAATATCTGATTTCGTACTAGTACAATTGCAATTGCAGATATCTCTAATTGTTATTCTGACTAGTCAAAATATAATTAGAGATATCTCTAAATATATTTATGGAGTCAGAACAAAGATTTAAATGCTAAAAAGGCTTGCCATAGAGAGCGCTTCTAAACAGCGCAGCAGCGATGACGTAAGCTTGCCGAGGCCCGATATGGTGTGAGCGCAGGCCGTCGGGGGAGACGGGAGGGGGGACAAGTGTGCTTTGGCCCGGTTCGAGGCAACTGTACCTAGTGTGAGTACGGCCTTTATCTATCATGTTTGATATCATTTAAAATGTCTCAGTGCGACTGGTACAATGGTCTCATTCCCTCAGAAATAGACATAATCAAAACAATAAATATATAACTTCAGGCATCTTTTGAACCGCTGTGAAGGGTGTG